GAGTTGGTGAGTTAACTCCCTTCTTTAACTATTGTGTTCTAACTACTAGACATTGAGTTGGTGAGTTAACTCCCTTCTTTAACTATTGTGTTCTGACTACTAGACATTGAGTTGGTGAGTTAACTCCCTTCTTTAACTATTGTGTTCTGACTACTAGACATTGAGTTGGTGAGTTAACTCCCTTCTTTAACTATTGTGTTCTACTAGACATTGAGTTGGTGGATTAACTCCCTTCTTTAACTATTGTGTTCTAACTACTAGACATTGAGTTGGTGAGTTAACTCCCTTCTTTAACTATTGTGTTCTGACTACTAGACATTGAGTTGGTGAGTTAACTCCCTTCTTTAACTATTGTGTTCTACTAGACATTGAGTTGGTGAGTTAACTCCCTTCTTTAACTATTGTGTTCTACTAGACATTGAGTTGGTGAGTTAACTCCCTTCTTTAACTATTGTGTTCTACTAGACATTGAGTTGGTGAGTTAACTCCCTTCTTTAACTATTGTGTTCTACTAGACATTGAGTTGGTGAGTTAATTCCCTTCTTTAACTATTGTGGTCTAACTACTAGACATTGAGTTGGTGAGTTAACTCCCTTCTTTAACTATTGTGTTGTACTAGACATTGAGTTGGTGAGTTAACTCCCTTCTTTATCTAGTGTGTTCTACTAGACATTGAGTTGGTGAGTTAACTCCCTTCTTTAACTATTGTGTTCTGACTACTAGACATTGAGTTGGTGAGTTAACTCCCTTCTTTAACTATTGTGTTCTACTAGACATTGAGTTGGTGAGTTAATTCCCTTCTTTAACTATTGTGGTCTAACTACTAGACATTGAGTTGGTGAGTTAACTCCCTTCTTTAACTATTGTGTTGTACTAGACATTGAGTTGGTGAGTTAACTCCCTTCTTTATCTAGTGTGTTCTACTAGACATTGAGTTGATGAGTTAACTCCCTTCTTTAACTATTGTGTTCTACTAGACATTGAGCTGGTGGGTTAACTCCCTTCTTTAACTATTGTGTTCTACTAGACATTGAGTTGGTGAGTTAACTCCCTTCTTTAACTATTGTGTTCTACTAGACATTGAGTTGGTGAGTTAACTCCCTTCTTTAACTATTGTGTTCTGACTACTAGACATTGAGTTGGTGAGTTAACTCCCTTCTTTAACTATTGTGTTCTACTAGACATTGAGTTGGTGAGTTAACTCCCTTCTTTAACTATTGTGTTCTACTAGACATTGAGTTGGTGAGTTAACTCCCTTCTTTAACTATTGTGTTCTGACTACTAGACATTGAGCTGGTGAGTTAACTCCCTTCTTTAACTATTGTGTTCTGACTACTAGAAAATGAGTTTAATTTAAGCAAAAGTAATTTACCTGTTCAAGTGAACAACTTCCGTTTTACATTTTTACACTGTTTTTACATTTTAATTATTTTGCCGTCAACATTGATGACAACTTACAACCAAGTTAGATGACAACTAACATTCTACATAGATAATTTACAACCTGCATAGTTGACAACTTGTGAGATAGATAACATCGTGTGACATAGATGACAACTTGTGACATAGATGACAACTTGTGACATAGATGACGATTTTAGACATAGATGACGATTTCTGACATAGATGACAAATTGTGACACAGATGACACCTTGTGACATAGATGACAAATTGTGACATAGATGACAAATTGTGACATAGATGACACCTTGTGACATAGATGACACCTTGTGACATAGATGACACCTTGTGACATAGATGTCAACTTGTGACATAGATGACAAATTGTGACATAGATGACACCTTGTGACATAGATGACACCTTGTGACATAGATGACACCTTGTGACATAGATGTCAACTTGTGACATAGATGACAAATTGTGACATAGATGACACCTTGTGACATAGATGACACCTTGTGACATAGATGACACCTTGTGACATAGATGACACCTTGTGACATAGATGACACCTTGTGACATAGATGCCACCTTGTGACATAGATGTCAACTTGTGACATAGATGACAAATTGTGACATAGATGACACCTTGTGACATAGATGACACCTTGTGACATAGATGACACCTTGTGACATAGATGACACCTTGTGACATAGATGTCAACTTGTGACATAGATGACAACTCGTGACACATATGACAACTAACCTCCTCCCTAACCTCCCCAGAGCTGGACTGACGGCCGACTGGTGTGGTACCAGGATAGAGTTGACCGTATCATGAGCTTGACCAACAGTGTCTGGACACCGGACATTGTCTACACAAACGCGTGAGTATTTCTTCCCTGAGTTTACTTGTCTCCCCTTCCTTGTTTATCTCGTTGTTTCGGGCTGCTTTCCCTTTGATTTAACACAAGATGTTCGTCTCCCCTGTTAAGACTCTTCTCCCGCGTTAATGCAGATTTGTTTCTACTTTTTAGATTAGTCTCTCTCTCTTCCCCCCCCCCCCCCACCCTTAATTAGATTAGTCTCCCCTGATCAGAGCCGGCGTTAGGAATACGCGGGGCCTAGGGCCAACCATCCGCGCGGGGCCTTTCCATTATATATATATATATATATATATATATATATATATGTATATAATATATATATATATATATATATATATATATATATATATATATATATATATATATATATATATATATATATATATATATATATATATATATATAAAGGCCTATATAATGTGATGTACACATAATAACACAAATGTTTTGGAGTTTATAAGCTAATGTCAAACTTTCCACTATAATAACAGATTTTATCTCTGCCATGTATTGACCCAATGTTCGTAGTTTTTTTCCTTTGCTAAGATATTAAATCACTTTTAATAGTTATGTAATTCATACCAAATCACTTAAGAAAATTTAATCACGTGCCGAATAATTAGGAAAATAAAGTTTACAATACAGCGAACTCGGCCTGATGTGTCAAAACAGTATAGACTTCAAAATTTGTTTAGAATTCATACACTATTTTAAAACCAAAAACATTATTGTCTTAATTATTGAACGGGTGAATCCTTAAGGTGACGCAACATAACAACAGTTTTAACTTTCTTCCAAAAAATAATAATAAATCACTCTGTTTAATGCCGCCTGATATAGATCCTAAGGCGCCCCCCCCCCCCTCGTCGCCCTCCTCCCACCCCTCTGCACGCAACTGAATGTTAACTTTGTTATACCAAGACAAGTGGGCCTACATATAGAGTTTCTTCCAGGCATCTCTTCGGGGGGGGGGGGGGGGGGGGCGAAGAAAATCTACTGCCCCTCTCCCCCCCCCCCCCCCCGAAAATTTCAAGTGCCCCTCCCCCCTGGAGAAAAAAGTCTGGAAGAAACACTGTACATATACGACATAATACGATATCTACCACTAGAATGTAAGGACTAGAGTTCATCAGGTCACTAACGGTCTACTAGAGACATCCCGTCTGCTCACTAAAAGGACGTCTTCATGTGTCCGCATACAATAGGGTATCTCTTTACGTCTTGGGCTAATTCTCGACCGCCATCTCCAGTTAGCTCAAGTCAAAAGCCAGGCGACCGTACACTACACAAAGGGAAGGCGTGACACTATTTTTGTATCGAATTACGGCCTGTCCCAGTTCAGGTGGGACTCACCAACATCAACCGTGGCCTCAGTTATAACAATCAACAACGTCGGCATTCGACCATTTAGTTTTTCCCAATTGAATTCAGCAACAATTTTTTTTAAGTTTACGAACTAATTCAGATAACAATGACATTGCTGAAGCGCGGGGCCCCTTCAAGCGCGGGGCCTATGGCGACCGCCCCGTTCGCCACCCCCTAACGCCGGCTCTGCCCCTGATAAAATGTGTTTCCCCTATTGTGATGACGCTTGTTATAATTAGGTCGGAGGTTAAGCAGGCGAGAATAGAATAGGTAGATCAGGTATACATTGGTCAGGCACGGAGAACCAATAGAATTGTAGCAGGAGATGACCGGTCACGTGCGACGGTCAGCTGACCATGACTTATGGGCAGTCAGAGATAGGTAGCATTAGAGAAGGGTTGAGTAGAGATTAGACGTGATTAGGAAGCAGTTGTAGTTAGATATTGTTAGGCGATCGTTGAGTCGGACTGAAGATTAGTTAGATAGGAGTAGGAGACAGATTTGTGTTTGTAAAAAAGAATTGGACTTGTGTTTGATTCCACCAGGTATAAATAAGAAGAGGCGTTCTCCTTGAGTTGAATGTATCCATGTATCTACATGATGGTATATTATATCTCCCCAAAAACACCTCCCCTCACATCTATTCAGATTAGCCTCTCCTGTTAAGATTAGTCTCCCCTGATAAAAATTTTTGAAGACTGCAGCTTTAAGAGCATTTTTCTAGAGTGTAAACTCTAATGTAAAAAGATTTGATACTAATACTAGGTAAAATGGATACCACATGTTTTACTTAAGTTTGTTTGGCTGTTTAAAATTTAAATATAAATTTTTCTACTTAGTTTTTCCCCATTTTTTCTGATGTTTGTATAATATGTAAACAAACTGTACCATGTGATTTTAGAGTGCTGCCGACTAGATCGATGTTCCACAACCACGTCATGATTTACAGCAGCGGTAAAGTTGTCCTGACGCAAAAAGAGGTGATGTCAGCATTTTCTGTGTAGTTGATCTAAACTTTTGAGTAGAGAGCTACTAACTGTACGTCAAACATTTTTAATAGGAATCAAAATGAACAGACGGACGGCGTAGTAGGAGGTTAGAGCATACGTCAAAAGTCTCGAGTTCAAATCCCGGGCCCGAGTCTCTAGGACGTCCCTGAGTCTATCCAGCTTTTATGGGTACCTGGCTCACGTTAGGGGAACCAAAGCGGCTGGGCATAGTGCTGACCATGCTATCCTTCTGTATGCCGAGGTCACTGAAACAGATGAACTCTACTTCATCTGCCTCATGTGTCTTGGGTAAAAACGGCAAAAGATGAGTGACCAAGTCAGAGGCGGGCTGCCTTCATCCACTCCATAACTCACTTGACTGGCCGCAAGCTTACGGTCATAAGGCCAGTGGCCTGACCTAAGGCTGACCTAAGGCTGACCTAAGGCTGACCTAAGGCTGACCTAAGGATGACCTAAGGCTGACCTAAGGCTGACCTAAGGCTGACCTAAGGCTGACCTAAGGCTGACCTAAGGCTGACCTAAGGCTGACCTAAGGATGACCTAAGGCTGACCTAAGGCTGACCTAAGGGTGACCTAAGGGTGACCTAAGGCTGACCTAAGGGTGACCTAAGGGTGACCTAAGGGTGACCTAAGGCTGACCTAAGGCTGACCTAAGGCTGACCTAACCCAAGCACCCGTTCATAGACCTGCCTTACAGTTAGCCCTAGCTGAGTGCATCCAATCTTTCAGTGTTTATCAACAATTTTTTTTAAAAAGTTGACACGTGTAATTAACGGCCTAATGTTGACGTTTGTAGGTGTGTCAAAATAAATACCTTGTTGTATAGGTGATAGATTGCCCTTGTTTACGTTTTATATATATATATATATATATATATATATATATATATATATATATATATATATATATATATATATATATATATATATATTGAACAGGAAGTGACGACATTCTGCGCCACAAACCTGGACGCAATCAACCAAGAGTGTCAAATCTCGATTGGTTTTTTGAGCAACAGTCAAGGCAATCAAAGAGATCGATTTTTTTCAGAGAGCGCCAGCTTCAACATCTCAGGTATGTATTGTTTTGTGTGGTGTAATGGGTGGTGTAATGGGTGGTGTAATGTGTGGTGTAATGTGTGGTGTAATGTGGTGTAATATTTGGTGTAATGTGTGGTGTAATGTGTGGTGTAATGTGTCGTGTAATGTGTGGTGTAATGTGTGGTGTAATGTGTGGTGTAATGTGTGGTGTAATGTGTGGTGTAATGTGTCGTGTAATGTGTTGTGTAATATGTGGTGTAATGTATGGTGTAATGTGTGGTGTAATGTGTGGTGTAATGTGTGGTGTAATGTGTGGTGTAATGTGTTGTGTAATATGTGGTGTAATGTGTGGTGTAATGTGTTGTGTAATATGTGGTGTAATGTGTGGTGTAATGTGTGGTGTAATGTGTGGTGTAATGTGTGGTGTAATGTGTGGTGTAATGTGTGGTGTAATGTGTGGTGTAATGTGGTGTAATGTGGTGTAATGTGTGGTGTAATGTGGTGTAATGTGTGGTGTAATGTGTGGTGTAATGTGTGGTGTAATGTGTGGTGTAATGTGTGGTGTAATGCGTGGTGTAATGCGTGGTGTAATGTGTGGTGTAATGTGTGGTGTAATGTGTGGTGTAATGTGTGGTGTAATGTGTGGTGTAATTCGTGGTGTAATGCGTGGTGTAATGTGTGGTGTAATGTGTGGTGTAATGTGTGGTGTAATGTGTGGTGTAATGTGTGGTGTAATGTGTGGTGTAATGTGTGGTGTAATGTGTGATGTAATGCGTGGTGTAATGTGTGGTGTAATGTGCGATGTAATGTGTGGTGTAATGTGGTGTAATGTGGTGTAATGTGGTGTAATGTGCGATGTAATGTGTGGTGTAATGTGGTGTAATGTGGTGTAATGTGGTGTAATGTGTGGTGTAATGTGTGGTGTAATGTGTGGAGTAATGTGTGGTGTAATGTGTGGTGTAATGTGTGGTGTAATGTGGTGTAATGTGGTGTAATGTGGTGTAATGTAAGGTGTAATGTGTGGTGTAATGTGTGGTGTAATGTGTGGTGTAATGTGTGGTGTAATGTGTGGTGTAATGTGTGGTGTAATGTGTGGTGTAATGTGGTGTAATGTGTGGTGTAATGTGGTGTAATGTGGTGTAATGTGGTGTAATGTGTGGTGTAATGTGTGGTGTAATGTGTGGTGAAATGTGTGGTGAAATGTGTGGTGTATTGTGTGGTGTAATGTGTGGTGTAATGTGTGGTGTATTGTTTGGTGTAATGTGTGGTGTAAAGTGGTGTAATGTGTGGTGTATTGTGGTTTAATGTGTGGTGTAATGTGGTGTAATATGTGGTGTAATGTGTGGTGTAATGTGTGGTGTAATTTGTGGGGTAATGTGGGGTGTAGTTTGTCGTGTAATTGTGGTCTAATGTATGGTGTAATGTGTGATGTAATATGTGGTGTAATGTTTAGTGAACTCACACTGCATTGCATAAGACCTAATTAATAATTTAATCTAATTTATAATATATATATATATATATATATATATATATATATATATATATATATATATATATATATATATATATATATATATATATATATGTGTGTGTGTGTGTGTGTGTGTGTGTGTGTGTGTGTGTGTGTACGTATGTGTGTGTATTGACAAAGAGAAATGCACCGTCTAGGAAATAACCCTGTGTACGAATGTTTAGATTCCTTCAGTAACCAAGAATGGGATCTCCAGAACGTCACAGTGGATCGTGTGGTGAAAAACGAGACAGGAAAAATCTCAAACATCAACATCTATTTAACACTGGAGAAGAAATTGGACAAGATGGACACGACTTCAGTGGAGGCAAGCGAGAGCGGATCCACGGCATGTTTAGGCGCTGATGACGACACAAAACCAGCGGACCGTAACCGCGCAGGTCACGTGGTCAGTCAGACAGCCGCCATTTTGATGTGTCTCTGGCTGTCTATGACGTATGTCGGCAGATAACTCTTGAGAGTTGTTTGTCTTGTTGATGCGAGATGTGTAAGATACAAGTGATGATGAATTATTTTTTTTTTAAACTTTTAATTTGTTTACGTCATTTTTTGTGCTTGATATGAAAGCATGTGATATGTGTACGTTAAATGGTGGTATTTCATTTTGGGTGTGGTTAAGTTCAAATAGTTAGACAGTAGCATTTGCTTGGTTAGATCACCCTCAGAAATTTGGCAGTGTTTATTCTATGGTTAGAGTTAAATGTTAGCTTAGAGTTTATACTGTGGGTTCTGGACAATATGGACGTCCACACGTTACATTTAACTTCATGCTGTCTTTTCTTAAATAACAGACGCAAGGTTTGTGTTACGTCTCATCTGCTCAAGAAGTTCATTCATTTTAAAGCAGAGCTGGTAATTATATGGTCAACGAGTAATTAAGTCTTCGTATCGCTACTTGTAAAGCGTGGACCTATGGGGTGAGCATGCTTTAAAGGTGAAGTAGAGGTCTCATAAAGGTGAAGTAGAGGTCTTATACAGGTGAAGTAGAGGTCTTAACATTTTCGTGGACGACGGGGGCGACCTCTGGTTAAAGTATATTATAAATTACAACTTATTTTTCATTTCGGGGGGGGGGGGGGGGGGGGGGAGGGCGGGGATAGACGTGCCTGAAAGAAACTTTAAAGGCGAAGAAGAGGGAGGGGAAAGCTGAAATTCCAATAATTTTGTGGACATGAAACTTGTATGAAGCCGCATAAATTTTTGTGTTGCAATGTAAGATCTAACTCGTGTGTGGGATGGTGAGGGTTGTGATGTGGGTCTAGTGTGGGTTGTGTGATGTGGGTCTAGTGAGGATTGTGTGGTGTGGGTCTGGTGTAAGGCCGTGTGTTTAATGATGAAGTTGGTTGTCGTTGGCAACTTCAATACGGCCTGGCTCTCATTCGGCATATTGGGTTTTACAATTGTCAGTCTCTGTCTTAACGTCTGTGTGTCTGTCTGTGTGTCGGTCTATGTCTTAACGTCTGTGTGTCTGTATGTGTGTCGGTCTGTGTCTTAACGTCTGTGTGTCTGTATGTGTGTCTGTGTGTCGGTCTATGTCTTAACGTATGTGTGTCTGTCTGTGTGCCGGTCTGTGTCTAATTAAGAGTGTCTGTCTCATCGTGCCTACACTTGTGACTGTAAATAGATTTTAAAAAAAAATTATTGTTAATGTCTGTCTGTCCGTCTGTATGAACAGGTGTCAGTCTAAATACGATGGGTTTAAATGGATGTTTTTATTTATTTCTTCATTATCATCATCTCTCAAAAGAGATAGTTCGTAGTTGTAAGGTTGGTTATAAAAATAGAACTTGTTTTTCAACTGCCATTGTTTAATCTTTATTTCCTTTTACATGACAATTGTTAGTTCTTTGACTTTTTAAAAGTTTTATAAAACTTTATGAGCTGTATGTAAACATTTTTTAACGCGAAAATAAAAGAAGAAGCTAAAATAATAACACCTAAATAAATAATCCTGAAACGTTGTTTTGGCTGTAGAACGGGATTTGGCATTTTTTCTTTCGTCGATTCACGTTTACGTCAAGCACTTAATAGATAGGTTTTTAAATAACAGGTTATTCTAATGTGTTTCAGCATTTTTATTTACCCCGAAAACATTGGATAAATCGTGTGCACGCTAGATCTAAACATTCAACTCACGAGTATATGTTTTTGACTGAATTAGATAGGCTTGAAAAGCTGGTTCCGAATTGTTATTGCCAGAAAGCATATTTTTCAACCAAATTTGAATATGTCTTCCGGTTTTAATAAGGCTAGAAATATTTAAATTTAAATAATTACTTGTAATAAAATAGTAATTTAGCTAACACTTTTATTTTTTAATTTGGATTAGTAGAGTAAGGGTGTTGTGGTGATTGGGGATGTCATATTATTTAATGTAAATACAATACTAGGTTATACATCATTGACTGCTCTTGTGTATTTTATCATGGAAAACAATTGTGACTTTCATTGTTTTACTTTCCCTGGCCACTCCGGTTGACTTGAAGGAGGAGTTGAGGGCGATTTAAAAAAAAATTGAAGTGATAAAATAATTTTAAACGGCTTTTCAACTGCTTATAATCAATACGAAAATATGAAAATGAGTGTAAATATGGTTCCCAAACGGCTTTAAGTTTAAAAAATGTAACTATAATTGTATCACTTGCCATATTTAAATTAAAATTTTTTTAGTATGATTACATCGACGTTTCAAGCCTTTTGAGAGAGTGGTTCACTCACTCCATGTTTCAGATTGTTTTTTTGTTTGTTTTGGCTGTACATTTTCCCTGTTGGTTGTAATTTATTTCTAATACCACGTGACACCGATGTTGACCTACTTACTCTGAGTGTATGTACCGTTGTACTCATCTTCGAGTAGTTTCTGTTTGTTTGTACTACTAAATTGTACCATAACTTTCTAGAAATAATTCTTAAATTTATTTGGATGATACTAAATGAAATGGTTAACTTTTACATTATTTTTTAATAAAGTACTTTAAAGCCTTTTTAAGTCCCTTTTTCATTTTTCATTTTTTTTACTTTACTCAATTTATCAACTTATGAGAAACCGGAAGTAGAGTATGTACCACATCCGGCTACTGAATCGTCCAGAAGTTGAAAGACAACTACACATCTCATACATAAGCCTACTAAGGTATGAGATTTTGTCAGCCTAACTGACACGGTGCTCAAGTTAATGTGTTGACAGACAGACAGACAGACAGACAGCTGCATTTACTTTCCCCAAAGTCGGGAGGCAATCAGAGTCAGCCCGGGATCGGAACTCGAGACAATTCGTAGCTAGGATCGAAGTTTTCACCCCGAATAGTTCGACTCCTGATGTTTCGACCCTGGTGATTCACTGTACGGGTTGTTCGACCACATGACCTTTCACTGTACGGGTTGTTCGACCACATGACCTTTCACTGTACGGGTTGTTCGACCACATGACCTTTCACTGTACGGGTTGTTCGACCACATGACCTTTCACTGTACAGGTAGTTCGACCACATGACCTTTCACTGTACGGGTTATTCAACCACATGACCTTTCACTGTACGGGTTGTTCGACCATATGACCTTTCAATGTACTGTTAGTTCGACCACATGACCTTTCACTGGACGGGTTGTTCAACCACACGACCTTTCACTGTACGGGTTGTTCAACCACACGACCTTTCACTGTACGGGTTGTTCAACCACACGACCTTTCACTGTACGGGTTGTTCGACCACATGACCTTTCACTGTACGGGTTGTTGGACCGCACGACCTTTCACTGTACGGGTTGATCGACCACATGACCTTTCACTGTACGGGTTGTTCGACCATATGACCTTTCACTGTACGGGTTGTTCGACCACATGACCTTTCACTGTGCGGGTTGTTTGACCACACGACCTTTCACTGTACGGGTTGTTGGACCGCACGACCTTTCACTGTGCGGGTTGTTTGACCGCACGACCTTTCACTGTACGGGTTGTTTGACATTTAAATAGTAAATCAAGCGTTACCTAAGTTTTAAAAGAATCAAACAAACTTTAAACACAACAAGGGATGTATAAAAAAAATGTACAACTCTGACATTATTGTTTTTTTCTAAATGTATTGGACATCAATGCAACAGTGAACACAGGTAGACGTTGTGTAAGTCGTGGACACATTGTCCTGGGAGGTTACAGCAAGTTAACATCAACTTCCTGATGCACTTTTGTGGTCCTAAGTCATGCACTTTTGTGGTCCTAAGTCATGCACTTTGGTGGTCCTAAGTCATGCACTTTGGTGGTCCTAAGTCATGCAATTTGGTGGTCCTAAGTCATGCACCTTTGTGCGTCTAAGTCATGCACTTTTGTGTTCTTAAGTCATGCACATAATGCTCCAAAGTCATGCACTTTTGTGCTCCTAGGTCGTGCACTTTAACGGTCTTATGTGTCATACATTCGAGTAGCCCTATATGTTATACATTTGAAGAGGTCCTACATGTCCTACACATTACAGGTCCTACATGTCCTACACATTACAGATCCTACATGTCCTACACATTACAGGTCCTACATGTCCTACACATTACTGGTCCTACAAGTCCTACATATTACTGGTCCTACATGTCCTACACATTATTGGTCCTACATGTCCTACACATTATTGGTCCTACACATTATTGGTCCTACATGTCCTACACATTATTGGTCCTACACATTATTGGTCCTACATGTCCTACACATTACTGGTCCTACACATTATTGGTCCTACATGTCCTGCACATTATTGGTCCTACATGTCCTACACATTACAGGTCCTACATGTCCTACACAAAACTGGTCTTAAAAGTCCTACATATTACTGGTCCTACACATTACAGGTCCTACAAGTCCTACATATTACAGGTCCTACATGTCCTACACATTATTGGTCCAACATGTCCTACACATTATTGGTCCTACATATTATTGGTCCTACATGTCCTACACATTACAGGTCCTACATGTCCTACACAAAACTGGTCCTAAAAGTCCTACATATTACTGGTCCTACACATTATAGGTCCTACAAGTCCTACATATTACAGGTCCTACAAGCGGTTAAACACCCGAGTGGTCAGGACACAAAGTCTACAAGGTTTTCACACGACCCAACATTTCACACTCGCTGTTTTACACTATCCAGAGTTCAAGGCAGCCACAACAAACGATATGGGATGGAGTTTTGACTGGCAACAGTCAGGGTTAGCTGCAGCTAGGCTAGGACTGGCTGCAGGGATAGCTGCAGCAAATATAGGACCGGTACCGTCAAAGCTAGCTCTAAAAGACGACAGACGTAGACCGGAAATCTCGGTAGCAAGATACCACGTGACATTTGTTTACAAGTGTGAGTTGTTTATCACTTTGTTATGACGCGAGGACTTGTTCAGTAAAGAGGGGGGGGGGGGGGGGGGGCAATTCATCACCAATGCGCAGACGAGGTGTAAACAATCTTACACCTTGTCCATTAATTTTTTAAACACACCTGAATGAAATCTTTTACTACCTGGGCATTTTGCTCAACTAAAACGTTTCCGTTGTAAATAAAATTGCTTTTTAACGACGCCTTCTTTTAATGCCTTGTCTAACAAGGCTCCGAACTGTTAGGTTTTGTCCAAGATTTTTGTGGCGTGTTAGTTTTCTCATTTATTTAGGTTTTGTCCAAGATTTTTGTGGCGTGTTAGTTTTCTCATTTATTTACACATAGCAAACTCGATATTTTTCCAGACATTTTTTTAACACCATTTAGGAGAGTTAACCCGAGGAAATGCCATGCAGCATTGTGCTTTGATGTATGACGTGCATGTCGCATACAACAAACATTCAAACACGTTCAAGTATGATAAAAAAAATTGTATAAAAAATACGTTTACTAAATGTGATTTTCAAACGACTTTTTTTTGTTATTTAAAACAAATGATAAATTTGTAAGGCAGTCAACGTTTTTGGGAACTAAATCAATTCCATGCAGCTTCAAAGAAGGAACTAGGAGACATGTTTACGTTTTAAATAACAGGCTAAGGAATCCTAGCTGGTAAATAAATCGTTTTTGTTTGTAATCCACCAGACTCCACGTTGTAAGTAGGGGGGGGGGGGGATTGCTGTGAATCTTAGGGGGGGGGGGGGGGAAGGTTAAGTCAAAATCCAATATTAAGATTTGTGTACGAATGATGATAGTATTTAAGTGCTGCTTCCAAACCTGAATGTCAGTTGAGCAAGTAAAGTTCACCTGTTTCTGTGACCTATGCATATGAAGAGATAGTGTGGTCAGCACTATGCCCAGCCGCCTTTACTTTCCCTAACGTGAGTTAGGTACCCATTAGAGTTGGGTGGACTCAGTGACGTTCTCCTGACTTGAACCCGGATTCGAAGTCGAGACTTACGGGTTAGCAGTCTAGCTCTCTACCGCTAGGCCACTCCTATTGATAGTTTCTCAAGATAGTTACTGGATTGGTGGTGGATGGGGTGGGTGGGTGGGGGGAGGTCGTATATGATTGTTATCAACGTTCTCAATGTTACACAAGCGAGATTAAAAGACAACTAACAGAGGTAAGAGAATAAAACGATCTGCCTCGGTCTCTTTGTTAAGATAGACCAATCTACTCAACGTCTCTTTGTTAACACAGATAGTCCAACCTAAACGTCTCTTTGTTAACATAGATAGTCCAATCTAAACGTCACTTTGTTAACATAGATAGTACATTCTAAATGTCTCTTTGTTAACATAGATAGTACATTCTAAATGTCTCTTTGTTAACACAGATAGTCCAATCTAAATGTCTCTTTGTTAACATAGATAGTCCAATCTAAACGTCACCTTGTTAACATAGATAGTCCAATCTAAACGTCTTTTTGTTAACATAGTCCAATCTAAACGTCAATTTGTTAACACAGATAGTCCATTCTAAACGTCTCTTTGTTAACATAGATAGTCCAATCTACTCAACGTCTCTATGTTAACATAGATAGTCCAATCTAAACGTCAATTTGTTAACATAGATAGTCCAATCTAAACGTCAATTTGTTAACACAGATAGTCCAATTTAAACGTCAATTTGTTAACATAGATAGTCCAATCTACTTAACGTCTTTATGTTAACATAGATAGTTGAATCTAGTCAAAGTTGTGAAACATAAAGCTGGCATAGAACTAGAACAATTCCAAAGACAAACATGGCGATTACAAGAAGATGCCGCCTCATACGTCGGTACCAAAATGCTGGTCTTTGAGCAAGTTCTTCGGCTTGTGGGCCTCCGAGAAGGCGCGACACCTTTTATTGTGCCGTATTTCCTCCTGAGTTACTAAAGACGCTTCCTTCTGCACACAAAAAAATAAGTAAATAATTACATTTAAAACATTTGATACAGTGTCCAAAAATGTAAGTGTTGGGTGCGATTTCTGGAATACAATGCTGTTGTGACGAGAAGAAAAGGAAACGCTTACAAAGAAATGTCTGCATGAACAATGCTGATCAGATTTCCCACGCAATAAATCGAGATCTGCTGGGAAAGATAAATGTAAGGATTCAGGTTTACCCTCTCTTCTAGACTACATCAAAATGTCCTCCTTTTTACTTTCTCGTATAATAAAAAAATTATTGTAATCGTGCAAAAAAATCGAAATCGAGATTTTTACAAATCTCGACGTTTACACCTCCTAGTATCGGAAAACCATAATTTTGCAATTTAACCCGTATGTCTCTCTGTGTGTGTGTATGTGTGTGTAACACGATAAAACGTTACAGCTAGGTTGATGACATTTCATATATAAGTATTATATCAAATTTGTAGTTCTGTATCAACTTTTCAGCGATTTCCGGTAACCGGAAGTGGAACTTATTGTACTTTTGGTTTTTCAAAAGCCTATAACTTGAATACTGTTTCAGATAGTTAGACGAAATTTCACACACACACACTAACACACACACACACACACACACACACATATATATATATATATATATATATATATATATATATATATATATATATATATATATATATATATATATATATATATATATATATATATTATATATATATATATATATATATATATATATATATATATTATATATATATATATATAAGTAAAATATCTATTTCTCTGCTTTCTGTGAAATTTTGAGTAATTTCAGTTTACCGGATATAGATCTAGTACTTTACGCTATTTCCAATATCGAAAAAAAAAACCAACCGCATATGAATTTATAAAATGCTAGTAGTCCTGACTGTTTGCTGTTCACATGGTGCGCAATTCATTGTTTCTACAAGATTCTATTCTACATTTAAAAGTTAAAGTAATTAAAAAATTTGATTAAATATCATGTCTATTTCCCGAGTTGCCTTCCCTGTAGTGTTATTTAAGAATATTCAACCAATCAGTGAATAGAAGTTCACATTCAAAACAACACTGATTTTCTTAAAGGTAAAGATATAGATGAAACCTTAGGCGGCGATACAACAGAAATTCTAGAACAAAAATGAAATGGCATAACATATTCCGCGGATAAAGAAGTCATAAAAATTTAACAAATCAACTTGTTCAATGTTAGACTATGTAAGCTACACCATAGAATCTACTTTATTTTGTGAATTTTTAAAGCTAAGTCGATTTTCTGATACCACGAAAAATTTACTTCGATTTGATTAAAAAGTTGATCACTAAATTCACACACTCCCGCCTAAGCGGAAATAATGTCTTAGAGATGAACTGCTAACTAAACAGTTCCATGCAAGCAGTAGTGGTTTAAACTAAACCAAAACATGATATAGGCCTTTGTACATTAGCTCCACGTTATTCTATGTTTAAACCTGTCCTATCTAGCAAATAGAAAAGAATGGATTGATTTCTTATTGAGAAAGATAGTTCAACAGTTGATCAGTTCAACAGTTGATCAGTTCAACAGTTGATCAGTTCAACAGTTGATCAGTTCAACAGTTGATCAGTTCAACAGCTGATCAGTTCAACATTTTGAAGGTCAATAGTTAACCAGTTCAACAGTTGATCAGTTCAACAGTTGATCAGTTCAACAGTTGATCAGTTCAAAGCTTGATCAGTTCAATAGTTAATCAGTTCAATAGTTGATCAGTTCAACAGTTGATCATGTCAATAGTTAATCAGTTCAACAGTTGATCAGTTCAACACTTGATCAGTTCAACGGTTGATCAGTTCAATAGTTGATCAGTTCAACGATTGATCAGTTCAACAGTTGATAATGTCAATGGGTAATCAGTTCAACAGTTGATCAGTTCCTCAGCTGATCAGTTCAACGGTTGATCAGTTTAATAGTTGATCAGTTCAAAAGTTGATCAGTTCAAAAGTTGATCAGTTCAACATTTTGAACGTCAATAGTTAACCAGTTCAACAGTTGATCAGCTCAATAGTTGATCAATTCACCTTGAACTTGAACTCAACAATCATGAAATTTGTAATGCAAAGCAAACAAACAAACAACCAAAAACAAGTAAACAAAAACAAAAGCACATAAACTCACCTCGACTTTTGGGACTGGTCTGAAATACAGTAATGATCAATACATTCAATTAATTCATACAAAGATAGAGAGATAAACATATTTGCAATAATTAGAATTTGACTTAATATCCACATGACCCTCTTTAAAGGTTAAACTGACATTCAATCTGTCGTGGATGTTTAGTCAATCAGTGAGTGAGCTCATTTAGTCTAAAGGAAAGTTTATTGTCAAAAGTCTAAAGGAAGTATATTGTCAAAAGTCTAAAAGAAGTATATTGTCAAAAGTCTAAAGGAAGTATATTGTCAAAAGTCTAAAGGAAGTATATTGTCAAAAGCTTAAAAGAAGTATATTGTCAAAAGCCTAAAGGAAGTATATTGTCAAAAGCTTAAAGGAAGTATATTGTCAAAAGCCTAAAGGAAGTATATTGTCAAGTATATTGACAAAATCTGTAGATAGTTTTTACTATTTTCCTGCCGAAGTTCGAACAACTATCGGAGCTTTCAACAAACAAACTTTAACACGGTGAACGTAAGTCAAACTTTAAAAAAAAATAAACTCCAGGAAAAAGCAGTGAAGCAATTGATGTTCAGTTTAACTTGATCTTTAAAGATGGGTAGTAAATTTATCTTTTGGCTTATTAGAATTTTGCTGACGTCGCCAGAGCTTTCAATTAACAGTACAATGCCGCTAGGGGGTACCAAGTGGTCGTTTTGTCAAGCACGATTTATTTTTGTCATTTAAAATTTATCATTACGTTATTGGAGCTAAGACATTGCTGTTACGTTAAATTCGGGGGAGGTTTAGGATTATCCTGCTTGACATCGAGCTAAAGAGTGGCACCCTCTAACGGAGATGTACGAGCTAATCTTAGAGGATAAGTCGTTCAGTAAGTGAGCCAGTGAACCTTTCCCGAGTTGTATTCGATCTCTAGTCTGAGAAGTGAACGACTAAACCTCTAGGGTACCGGGCGCCTACGACAAGATGCACATCAATGACTTCACTAGGCAGCAGGAGCAAACAAGAGGACAAGAGAACACTTACAGAGAGACCGGACTGCTAAAGAACAAGTTGAAGGGCATGACATCCATTATTTTCTTTTTCACCATTTCATGCTAAGATAAAAACAAACGGGATTTGTTTTTCGTGATTTTATAATGGTTTATTTAAAGCTGTTTAACACCTATTTAAAAAACCATATGGACGCTGGCATGTTATTTGGAGTTTTGACAAGTTAGATTTATTAATCAAACTATAGTGTGTTGTCATTAAATGATTTGATTATTATAGTTAACATGCATAACAAAACAAAATGGGTTATGGTATTCAAAGGGTTAAATCGTTCGCTTCTCAACGATTTCAAATTAAGAATTTTAAACTTTACAATTTTGACCCCCATCTCTTTTTGTTCTGAAATCGTAACCATCCTCCAGAATTCTATAAAAAAAGAATGAGGCGTCCTGTCAAAATTCAAATAAGTTCTAGCCTAGCTTTCTAGGTTCAAATTTAATACCCATCTTAGTGAAAATTCACACAGCAAGACCTAGAATAGAAGGCACGGAGGAGCTATTCTAAAAATAGAACAACCGAGGGGCCAGGCATGTGCACTGAATTTAACTAGAATTTTGATAAATATAGAAAAAATATTGGAGACAAGAAATGTTTCTAGTAAAGTTGCTTGGAATGCATTAAACCTTACTTCAAGCGATCTAATGCTTAATAACTAATCACGCGTGTTGGAAATTAAAATTAATAGAAAAAGAATGGTAAGCAGCGAATACATACAAGCCTAACCACAAAGTATTTTATAGATCTACATTTTAAAACACGTAACGTTTCACGAGTCGTGTATTGTATATTTTTTAAACTTTGAATCTGCTTCCTATTGATCCTTATTGCTTCAGTTTGTATTCGACTTATGGCTAATGTATTGGAGCCTTGACTTGATATATGCTAACTGCTGTGGACTATGTCAAGAAGAGAATGGTCAAAGGTAATTCTAATTTTTTACTAATGCTTGTGTGTGAGTAGAAGGGTGGATGGGTGGGAAGGGCATCAACATTCTGCTCTGGGTGCCGATATTTTGCTGCAACAGGAGTTTACAATCCGCATTAACTGCATCCTGATCTTTCAAATAGAAGTCGACAACTTAATTTTTATTTAAAGAAATGACGTAGATCTAGCTAAAACAGCCATTTTGAAACCACTCAACCCGAGACACAGTGTTTACCCTAGAAAGATGGAGAGATATTCTGGAAGGGGGGGGGGGGGGTATGTTGTGGGGAGATAAAGAACATCCTCAGTGGACACGAAGCATTGGTTGGTTACCTTCATAACCATCTTGACCACAAGATACACATTTAAAGTTGGCTTTACCATAGGTTTCAGTCTAATGATGAATCCATCTTTACTAGTTTAAAACAGCTACATTTATTTTATTATTTGTTATTTTTGCTGTGAGCCTTTTTAAAAATCATTAAGATCTTGACTGTGTTAATTTTATATATTGGATTTGATTAAACGAATTAGGACTGTCCTACAGACGAATCGGTACCCTAAAATAATTAACATGCTGAGAAAACAAAGAAAAGAAATATAAACAAATCACGACTGTGCTACACTGTGTTGTTGAATTAAATATGGCAGTTCTATTACTATTATAAGATTTGTGTCGTATTTTCTGTTGTCTTTGATAATATTACTTTTCTACTTAAACAACATTATTTCAATATAACAGTTGGAAATTTACTATTCCCTATAGACATTACCGAGGTCATGAGAATCCTTCCATCATTATTGTAGTCCTAGATAAATAAGGAAAATCGCAATTGCAAATAACTATTCAAAGTTACATTTTAATTCCATAAATTCTGCTATTTAAAGTACACACACACACACACACAAACACACACACACATCTATATATATATATATATATCAGTAGCGTACGCATGGGGGAGCAGGGGGAGCGGCCGCTCCCCCTCTGGCCATTTTTAGCAAAGTGGCGCCTTTTTGGAAACTTTTAAAACTCAAAGTTTTAAACATTGATATTTAAAAAAAAAAATTATCTTTGGTCGGCACATCTATGCAAATCACAAGATTTATTTCATGCAGCAATTAATTATAACAGTAATAGACAAGTAGAGTCAACGTTTACAACACGTATTAGCAGCTGTATCAGTTTGTCATTCTAAAAATAACCATTACGATACTTTGCAATGTTTAAAAAACCTCTACGGGTAGTACCACTTGGCAAGATGGGTGTTAAGTTTAGGGCAACTGTATAATGTATTTACTTAAGAATAATTGAATTAGAAAATGTTACATATAAAACGTCAAACATAATAACTTTATATAAATAGTTTAAATCGTGTAATTTATTTTTAAAAATTACAATACAAACACAAATACAACTAATGTGGCACCTCTATTTAAATTTACTTATGGGCGAACTGCGTAGCGGTGGGGAAATTTTGACATGGTCAACAACGTCGTCACGATGAAGTAGTAGTATTATGACAGTTTGGGCGATATTTATTAAGATTACAAATTATATGAAACAGTATCAACTTTATATTATTATTTTGGTTTACTAGATCTAAATCTATATTATATTTGAAAAATGCTTATTTTGTATTAAAAAACAACAACTCATTTTAAACTAACACTGATCGCACAGTTAATTATCCGCTACTTATTTAAATCTATTTTTGAATCAGTATGCATGCGTAATTGAATATGTAATGTTTAGAACAGTCATCTAAAAACTGACGCAATGTTCACTCTGAGTTGGTTATCCACCCCACTTCACCACCACAATTGTGTAGAGTAACATTAATGTCACTCCTAGGTATTCGCTGGGTTGGATAATTGACCTAAAGTGATCGGGCAGTGGTGAATGAAGTTGAACCCCTCCTCCCCCCCCCCCCCAACCCACCCCGAACTGATCTGTTAAGTACATTTGGGAAAACGCGTAATGATGTACCAAAGTACCATGCCGCCAGAATTATAGCTTTTGAAAATCTCTGATTTTGCATTTACCAGTAAATGGTGTGTGAGCAATACAGTGATCTAAACCATACCTTCTCATTATGTGAAAAAATTAACTTTAAAGAACACAAAAAGTCAGTAGCTAGTTAAAAACTTCATGATCTTAAATGTAAGACCGATATTTAAGATACATGTAGGCTATTATTCCGAACGAGCCGACCCGCTGCGTATCATACGCCGCTATTTAGTTGTTATTTTTTCTACGTTTCAGTAATTTATAATTTGTGAATTCGACAGTACCAATGCTGTCATTGAAAATATTTTCTTAAAAACACTAAACCCCCCTTCCCCCCACCCCCCCCCCCCACGCAGCCTTCTCTTAGTTACCTCCTCTAAGTTTAAAATCGTTTCAAACTAAATTATCTGCCCCTAATAACCGTCACCAAACCCGTCTCTATGATTGTAAAATGTAAACAGCGTGAACCACAGCTCACAGACCATGTGAGGGGGTGGGGGTGGTAGCGATAGAGAGGAAGAGAGGGGACTGTAAGGCGCGCTTGCAGCTTGTTTTCTAACGGCTCCCAGAAGAGAATTATGTATATAGATGTTTTACTTTTACATTGAAAAGCTGGCTTTTATACCAACTCTGATTTTAAAAACTTTCAGTATGCTGTAATACTTTAGCATTTATGATGACAATATATTTAATTATGATTGTAGACAAAATATTTTTTGAAAAAAAAAAAGAATAGTGTTAAGCTACTTTATTAGATTCTAAAGTAATTATTGATTTGTTTTGATATGTGTAATAAAATGTGTATATATTTATATTAAGATATTGATTATTTCCCCTTTTCGCTTGTGTTAATTAATGTCCCAGGAATTATTATGTAATTTTTTTTACAACAGATTATGCTGCGTTCATTGTTATATATATATATATATATATACAGGCAGTCTCGGGGAAGGACGGTGGAAGGAGAGTCAAGGGCTGCCGGGCTTTAATTAACGTGTGCCCAAAACCGAGGTCGATGGAGAATTGTGGTTGGAGCTCTTTGTTAAATCAGGGGCCCCAAAGTACTAACTCGTCCTATCGTCTAGAGTCTAGACCAGTGCTGCTAATACTTGTGTTAAAAGATAAAATCAAGTCTCCTGCTTCAGCGCTCCGAATCACACGAGAACGAGCATGGGCCCGTCTAAAATTAATCAATAGATTAGACACATGCGAATAGTTAATTAGATCTATTGATTGATAATTTCTCTACGTTTTTGGTGACTTTTTAGTTTTTTATGTGACCTATCAAGTGACATTTGGCTGTCATCAGATGGTGACATTCGCCTCGCCTTCACCACGCATGAATATATCGTGTGACGACTGGGTCGGAGATTTGGAATTCCAAACGACAGAAGCAGACGACTAGTTTTTTCCGAATTCACCCTAGGTAAGTTGACTGCACTTTTTTTTGTTGTTATCAAATAAAAAAATGTGTTTAAATTTTTTGGAGTGTCAAATATTTTATTTTAGCCGCAGGCCTACATATTGTATGTTAGACAATCTAATTAATATTTCTCAAATTACTTTATATTTCAAAAAAACTCTTTTCTAAAAAAATATTGTTACTACACAAAACAAAAACTAAGAGATTACAATGGGTCGACAAGATGAACTAGCTAAACCTGTTCAAGAATATAATGCAATTTTCTTTAAGATATGTCTTTATCTGTTCAAAACTTTTGATTTTTTAAAGTATTTTTTTCATTTATTATAATAAAACCGTATAGATTTCATTTCGTTTATAGTGTTGGCCAATTGATATTAAATATTTTAATTATTTTTTTTATGAAAAGTCAACAAAGGGCTCTATTATTAGATGATTTATTTTTAAAAAATACCTTTTTACTTTCTCGTATACGAAGTTTAGAGGAAGTATTGTAATAGTGCAAAAAAAATCTAAATCGAGATTTACACCTCCCTGAGTTGGAAAAAAGTTTTGCAATTGTGTACGTTTGTCTGTGTGTGTATGTATGTATGTATGTATGTGTGTATATATGTCTGTGAACACGATACCTTGAGTACTGTTACAGCTAGGTTGATGAAATTTCATATATAAGTATTATATCAAATTTGTAGTTCTTTTTCAACTTTTCAGCTATTTCCGATAACCAAAAGTGGAACTTATTCTATTTTTGGTTTTTCAAAAGCCTATAAATTTAGTAGGCTACTGTTTCAGATGGATAAACGAAATTTCAAATATAAGTAAAAGATCAAATTCTCTGCCTTCTATCAAATTTTGAATAATTTCCATTGATCGGAAGTAGTAAATTACGCTATTTCCGTTTTCTCAACAAAAAAAACAAAAAAACAAAAAAAAAAAGTAAAAAAAAAAACAAAAAAACACGCATATCTATCTGTATCAATAATTTTCTTCTTGGAGACGCTAGAAAACAAGCTGTAAGCGCGCTCCCTACCACCCCACCCCTACATGGTCTGGTGAGCTGTGGTTCACGCTTAATGTTTACAATCGTAGAGCCGGATTTAGTGGCGGCTATTGGGGGCAGATAATTTAGTTTGAAACGATTTTTAACTTAGGGGAGGTAACTAAGAGGAGGCTGCTTTCACGGGGGGGGGGGGGGGGGGGGTAGGGTAGGGGTTGGGGGAAAGGAGGGGGGTTATCGTCCTTAACGACTTACTGATAGTGTTTTAAAGCAAATATTTTCAGTGGCAGCATTGGTACTGTCGAATTCACAAATTATGAATTATTGAAAAGTAGAAAATAAAACAACTAAATAGCGGCATATGATACGCCGCGGGTCGGCTCGTGAATTTATAAAGCAATAATAATATTCTGCACTATTATAACACTATTATACACATATTGTTTGCCATTCTCTTGGTTTGCAATTCTTTTTTTTTTCGACGAGATTCTATTCTATTTTAAAAAGTTTTAGTAATTAAAAATTGATTAAAAATCATGACCATACCCAAAGTTGCCATCCCCCGTAGTGTTATATAAGAATATTTGAGAAAGTTTAGGGGAGATCACTCCCACTTTATTTATTTATTAAAATACTCATAATATGACTAAAATCAAGTAAAAACATAGCATACAGAACTTCTACATCTACTATGGAATTGACTTGACAAATTGAGTTGTGTGTACTTTGATATGAGTTTCGAGTCTTATAGTAAGTTAGGGGTCGTCCATAAATGACGTCACAATCGGAGGGGGAGGGGGAGTCCATAATTTTGTGACGGCGTGTGATGAGGGGGAGGAGGGGGGGGGGGTTCAAAGTTGCGACGGCACACTTTTGCATTATAAACAAGTTAATAAAAAGTATAGTGACAATTTAAGCGCAATTTCCTTAATTAATTTTTTGTGACCGAACGAAAGGATATTTTTGAAAACTTTCTTCGGCAATATTGTTTTAAATTACGACAGGAATCGATTGGTAAATGTTTCAAGTCGCTAAGTGGTCTGGTTGCAGAGATATGGGCCAAAAACTGCATTTTGTCGAGGTTTTTTGGCTTTTCCGGGAAATCCAGGAAGGAATTCCGGGAATTTTTTTAGCCCACAATCATCCTCAAAACTTTCTTAACATATTTGCTTTTGGAACTAGTCCTCGATATTGCTTCGTTGAGGAGGAGATACGACTTAAAGCTGCGGACACACATCCATCTATCCATCCATCCATCCATCCATCCATCCATCCATCCATCCATCCATCCATCCATCCATCCATCCATCCATCCATCCATCCATCCATCCATCCATCCATCCATCCATCCATCCATCCATCCATCCATCCATCCATCCATCCATCCATCCATCCATCCATCCATCCATCCATCCATCCATCCATCCATCCATCCATCCATCCATCCAGAAATAACGAATTAATAATCGCAATTGTCAGTATGGAAATTGCGCTAAAAAGCAATGTTAGAAAACGAATTTTAGACGTTATTTCGCGTTTTGAAATCTGTTTTAATAAATTGCACTAGGAATTGATTGAAATACTCTATTTTGACAAAGTTCAGACAAGATTTTGGAAAAATATCGATGTTTTAAGAAAAATTCAACTGCAATTTTGAGGTGGGGGGGGGGGGGGTTGTAGGCTGAGGTGTGACGTTATTTTAGGGGGGTGTCTGGCTTTTTGTGAAGATGTGTGACGGAGGGGAGGGGGGGGGGAGGTATAAATCGTCAAAAAAAGTGTGACGTCATTTATGGATGACCCCCTTATAGCGTGTGTATGTGTAGACCATAATCCAATGGGGATAAGTGAAGCATTATTTTAATTATGTTGCTAAATACAACAATTATTGGCCAGTTTACATCGATTGTTTTTTCCTAACATAAACTGCAGCTGTTCGATTTATTCTGAAGGTAGGGGAAAAAAAGTAACTGAATTAATATGAGAAAAAATGAGGGGAGGGTGGAGTCAACTAACTTGAATTAATATCGGAGGGGGGGGGGGGTAGAACATAATTTGATAGTAGGGGACGATCAAAAGTAACTTGATATTTTGGGTGGTGGGGGAGGGGTGGTGGGGGAGGGGTGGTGGGAAGAACAAAAGTGACTTGATATTGGGGTGGGGGTGGGAAGAACAAAAGTAACGTGAATTGATATGGGTTGGGGGGAGGGGGGTAGAACAAAAGTGACTTGAAATTTTTGGGGTTTGGGGGGGGGGGAGAACAAGAGTAACGTGATATTTGGGGGGGGGGGGGGGATGTATGGGAGGGGCAGATCTAAAGTAACTTGAACTGATACAAAGAAAAACTTACAGCACCGCGGAAGGAATCAATGGTAGCAAAGGTTTCCTGAAAGGCATTTATTCGCTTTAAAATATAATGTTAACACAGTGTCACATTCATTCGCTTTAAAATATCATGTCAACATAGTGTCACATTTATTAACTTTAAAATATCATGTAAACATAGTGTCACATTTATTAGCTTTAAAATATCATGTCAACACAGTGTCACATTCATTCGCTTTAAAATATCGTGTCAACACAGTGTCACATTCATTAGCTTTAAAATATCATGTCAACACAGTGTCACATTCATTCTTTAAAAATATGGCAACATAGTGTCACATTACATTCATTCGCTTTAAAATATCATGTCAACACAGTGTCACATTTATTTGCTTTAAAATATCATGTCAACACAGTGTCACATTCATTCGCTTTAAAATATCATGTCAACATATTGTCACATTTATTTGCTTTAAAATATCATGTCAACACAGTGTCACATTCATTCGCTTTTAAAATATCATGTCAACACAGTGTCACATTCATTAGCTTTAAAATATCATGTCAACACAGTGTCGCATTCATTTGCTTCAAAATATCATGTCAACACAGTGTCACATTCATTAGCTTTAAAATATCATGTCAACACTGTGTCACATTTATTTGCTTTAAAATATCATGTCAACACATTGTCACATTCATTCGCTTTAAAATATCATGTCAACATAGTGTCACATTACATTCAGTCGCTTTAAAATATCATGTCAACACGGTGTCACATTTATTTGCTTTAAAATTTGGCAACATAGTGTCACATTACATTCATTCGCTTCAAAATATCATGTCAACACAGTGTCACATTAATTCGCTTTAAAATTCTCATAAAGTAGTCAAGTAGTTGGAAATGTTCATGTGAAGTCATGTAGTTGGAAATGAAATCAAGTAGTTGAAATGGGGATGTGGGGGGGGGGGGGAGTGGTCATAGTATCAGCCTTCCCTACCCCGCTCACCACCAGTGACGCCACATTTTAAATAAGCCAAATCTGCAAACATCGTGTGATTTCAAATGGAAAAGAATAACCTATACGCCTATGTCATTCAGACTTAAACGTGTCTGATCAATTTGTGAGCTTGAGTTTTTTTAAATGTTTCAAATAAAGGTAGTTAACTGTGATTAAATACCTGATTCTCCATTAAAACCTCCAGGAACACCTGTGGATAAAATTGACGGTAAAATTTTCTCAATGTTAGATGGATGGTAAAGTATAAAGAAAAAGAAAGGTTCCCATCTCTAGAAGTAACACTCGGACAACACTCGTCACATCGGTACTTAAAGTCACTATATGGCTTCATGATGGCTTTCTTTGTTCAGTCCAGATTTTAGTCGTGGTTTAAATAAGGGTTGTCAGGCCAGGTGGTTCTACAGCTTCACCAGACCCCCCCCCCCCCCAGAGTTTCTTCCAGGCATCTCTCTACCCCCCCCCCCCCCGAACGAAATGAAATTAATATATAAAAAATATATACTTTTAACAGTGTCCGCCCCCCCCCCCCCGAAAAAAAGTCAACCACTCCGCCCCCCCGGAGAGAAAAGTCTGGAAGAAACACTGGACCCCCCCCCCCCTTGGCCAGATGTTTCTAAAGCTTCACCAGACCCCAATCGGCCCGATGGAAAAATATCACCGCATCCCAGCATTCCCATACTGATAGCAGGGTTCAAGATATCATGCTAGGTACCATCCCCCAAACATGAATGATTAGATGACGTCCAGCTTGAGGCTTGACGTGTTACCTTATCTGTGTCCTTGAGCCACTGCTCGAATGAACGGTTGTAAGAGTTGAGCTCCATGGCCACCGTGTGATCCCATTCGCTGAGGGTGCGGTAGTGGGCAAACATCGAGGCCAGCTCCTCGGCCCCGTCAAACATGAACTGGTAAAACGCCGCCACGGGTATCTAGGGGGGGGGGGGGGGGGGGCAACATAATCAATGTGACATTAGCTAAAAAATGACCTGCGTTTTTAAAATAACAACGCGTATTTTAAATAAATTTTATGTAGTGAAGTTTTTAAAAAATACTGTCATTGAGTAGCTTTAGTTGATGTGTAGATTTATCGTGATGTTTCTGTGCAGATTTTGGATAATTAAGTTACACAGCTCCTGTGTGGTTCTGAGACGTGGGGAGTAAGGCAAACTAATAACAACAAACTTCAGACTTTCATTAACAGCCGCATATTGAACATGAGAAGCAGAAACAGCCGGAATGTCATGGACCCAACTTGGAGGAATCGTAAAGAATCGAATACGATGGAGAGGTGTGGTTGCGTCCCTGAGCTCCACAAGGGAACCAATGGAATGGCGATGATGATGATGCCTGCCTACTCCGCAGCTTAAATGGCTCTCTTATTAAATACATTGTATTTAACGCATGATCCCAAGACCCACTGTTACCCCTAAGCTATTGCTCCTGGGCATTTAGCTTCTCAAAGGCAAAACGTGTGTTGACAAAAACAAGCAAGTACCTTTGGGTTGTAAAACCTTAAGTCCGGGAAAAAAGCATTTAGCTTTTCTACAATGTCGTTGACGGTCAGATAGGAGGTGGAGAGTTTTATTGTCTTAAATACGTAGGAGTCTGTGCGTAACGCCATTTTGGAAATACAGTGCCCGAAATCTACGATACTTCCACAGTTTAGGCCGACGTCTCCCATAGGCAAGGCTGTAGAATAAGGTACAAGCATTTACATATCCATTTTAAACTTGACAAGAAACATTTGAAATGAAAAAAAAGCGTGGATGAAATATCATACCAACGGCAAATTCGTTTTTCGTTGTTTGATGTGGCTTGAACACAGTGAGTAAATTCTCGTAACAAAAGCCAAGATGTACTATTGTGTACGGGATCCCTATTAATAGTAAACAGAGTTATTGTTTTTCATGAAAGTGTTAGCCAATAGCGTTAGTTGTAGCAAAGGTAACGAGTAATACTGAATAACATAATTATCTAGACTCTAGAGACTCTAAGAGTCTAGAGAAGGGGTCTCCAAACTACGGCCCGCGGGCCGGATGTGGCCCGCGATGACCTCTCATCCGGCCCGCGGAGATCTTTTTGTCCACGGAAAAACCGTTTGTTGGTGATGGCTGAGGAACTTTGCCCAGAAAAATCAAAGACATGCCTAGAAGAAACTGGCCCCCAAACTGAAATTTGAAAGTCAATGCGGCCCTCGGACTGAAAAGTTTGGAGACCCCTGGTCTAGAGCATTTAAACAAAGTGGTGCGACGTCTCAAGGAAGTAAGAACCTGGGTCATAGGCGGGTCATAGCGGCTGGCAACATGGGTTGTCGCCTGTCTGAGGGAGAGACCGTCGGTCATTTTTGGCACAGAGAGACTTGGAGATGGAGATGGAGAGAGGGAGAGAGGGGCGGGGTCTAGTTTCTGCTGTCCCTTTATATTCCCAGGGGGAAAGTGTCTTTAGATTCTACTGTCCCTTTATATTCCTAGTTCCCATATTTAAAACAAAAGTGGCGTATGGGATCCTCAAAAACCTATATTATAAAAATTAATCTATCAAAATAGTTACAACAAGTGCAGTGTGCAACACGTAAATACTTTAGAGTTTCATTAACAATTATACAGTTGTAAATGGTATAGTGTAGTAAATGAAACTTATGGGTTGCTGTCCCCAGCTATCGAGCCTCATCTGCCATGGAACTTCTCAGTTTAGCAACCAAGCTTTACCGATCCCACCACCTCGACCCTATTCAATAACAAAGTTATTTGCAATTGGTGATGAACATTGTAAGACAACTCTACACTAGCTCAACTCTGCATACATACCTGCATTGACAATATAGTTTTCTACCATTGCCTTTCCTTCAAAATACTTGCATCTTTCTTTGGCTGTTAGACTGGAGTACTCAGCCCCTATGTATATCAAGTGTTTGACTTTACTCTGCATTGCCGCATTCACGACGTTAAAGCCCTGGAGAAAACAGACATGAATATGTGCAGCTGTTGGCCTCAACTGTTTTAATATGTGCAGCTGCTGGCCTTTATGTGCAGCTGTTGGCCTCAACTGTTTTAATATGTGCAGCTGTTGGCCAATATGTGCAGCTGTTGGCCAATATGTGCAGCTGTTGGCCTATATGTGCAGCTGTTGGCCTATATGTGCAGCTGTTGGCCAATATGTGCAGCTGTTGGCCTATATGTGCAGCTGTTGGCCTATATGTGCAGCTGTTGGCCTATATGTGCAGCTGTTGGCCTATATGTGCAGCTGTTGACATGAATTATTTTGTTATGTCCAGCTGTATTTCTTGTGCTGAATTGTTTTGTTATGTGCAGCTGTATTTGTTGTTCTGAATTATGTTATTGTGTGCAGCTGTTGGCCTGAATTGTTTTGTTATGTGCAGCTGTATTTGTTGTTCTGAATTATGTTATTGTGTGCAGCTGTTGGCCTGAATTGTTTTGTTATGTGCAGCTGTATTTGTTGTTCTGAATTATGTTATTGTGTGCAGATGTTGGCCTATATGTGCAGCTGTATGTATTGCACTGAATGTATTGCAACAACAGCTGATAACTAAGTGCACAGGACACTACAGTAGTTATTAATTATTATCACAGGCCAACCTGCTGATACTCGATGTCCACACTCATGGTTTCCCAGTAGGTTGTATGTAGAAAGACCGTGTCTATGTTCTCCATTGCTCCTTTGATGGTCAGTGGTTTTGTCATGTCACCTGTGTGTAGCGTCACTCCTTTGTTGGGCGACAAGTAAAACTAAATTGGCACAGACTATATATATATATATATATATATATAGGCGTAGCGAGGGCGGGGCAAGGGGGTGGGGACCGCACCGGATGACACCATTTAGGGGGGTGAGACCAAGGCAAACAAATTTGCAAAATGTACAGAAGAAAAATGCTTTTTGCTAGTTCCGTTAATTATTAATTAAAGTTAAATAGTCTTTTAAAAACAAATCGACAATTATTACAAGAGGGTGGAGGTGATACCATGTTTTTAGACTAACCTTTAGAGACGAGCTCATCATAGGCCTCACCCTGCATCGTGCGGGTAAACCCGTTGACTCTAAACCACGCACAGCCCAGCGCCGCTTCCGCCACGGCCCCTCCCGTCATGCCGGTCACCCCGAATATCAGGATATTTGTCACGTCATCCTCCGATTGTTTCCGAGAAGGCGCACTCATGCGCCGTAAACTAAAAACAAACAAACAAAAAAAAAATTAATAAGAAAATGCTATTTATTAAAATGAAACAGAACTATCGAATATACTCTTTGCTTGCACGAATATCGTAACCAGTGTTTCTTTTAGACATTTTCTCCGGGAGGGGTCACTTGAAACCAGTAGCGTAGCGAGGGGGGGGGGCGGGGGGGGGGAGACCTTAGGGGGCGCCAAAATGGGTTGGAAAAGTAAATAGAAAGGTTGAGGGGGGTGCAAATCAAAAGTCTGAGGGGGGGGGGTGCAAATCAAAATCTCAAGGGGGGGGTGCAAATCGAAAGTTTGAGGGGGGGGGGTGCAAATGGAAATCTCGAGGGGGGGGGGGTGCAAATGGAAAAGTTTGTCCCCGGGCGCCGGGAAGAGTCGCTACGCCTCTGCTTGAAACTTACGGGGGGGGGGGGGGGGATAAGACGCACTAAAATTTCCGGAAGATAAACTCTGATCCTAACCCTGATCATAAACCTGAAAGCGGATACAAGATAAATACAAGAACAGAATCTGATATAATACTCTACACTTAAGTTTAGTAGATCCAGACATTGTAGTCTAATTTTAGTGTTTTACTATTATAAACTTTGTTTTAACCAGATAGTTGCTTCCAGGCATCTCTTCGGGGGGGGGGGGGGCTCTGCCCCCCCCCCCCCCCCCACCGAAGAGATGCCTGGAGCCCCACCGAACGAAATGAAATTTATGTAGAAAATATATACTTTTATTAGTGTCCGCCCCCCCCCCCCCCCCCGAAAATATCAAGTGCCCCCCCCCCCCCCCCCGGAGAAAAAAAAGTCTGGAAGAAACACTGGTTTTAACTTTATACTATAGATCTAGGTCTAGATCTAGAACTAGATCTAGATCTAGTTCTAGATCTAAGTTAAAAAATGAACTAGATTTAGATTCTAGACCCAGATCTAGATCTAAGGTATAAATATACACTTCGTCAATGAGGTGCACATTCTAGTTTTTTTTTAGTTCAATAAATTATAGCAGGCTAGTTTAGACGTTTAAAACTTTATCTGAAAATTTTACACGCATGATAGTTTCCAACACATTTCGCTTGTTTAGCTGGTCTTGAAAGTTGTACTCTGGGGCATCGTGTAGTCGCTAATGTCTTCAAACGTGTTTCATCTTGGTGCTCATTTGTTCTAATCAATCGGGAAATTCCGCAGTTTTCTCTGTGAACGGAATTTTAAAACAATGTCCTTGTCTTCATCTGTTCTATACTCTACTTGTCACAAACAGGTATACACCTTTAACCGAATAAAATGCTTACTATTTTGGACATTTTAACGTTTATTCCACCAAAACCTGATTAAAAAAAAAATCTGATAGTAATTAAAATAGGGTTTCTTCCATGCATCTTTTTGTTAAAAAGTCTTTTATTGAGAACAAAATTGACAAATCCCGACTGTAAATGAACATAGTAAGTATTATCTGTGCACAGTTTAAACCTATCGCCGGGTGAAGGGGGGGGGGGGGGTGACACCAACTAAACGTTATAAAATGTGCCTGAGGAAAAAGGTTTTCTTGAGAATTGTAATAACTGATAGGTAAATCGACGTCTGGATAGTGGGTGGGGGGGGGGGACATCAAGTTTAATAATTTACTGCAAATACAATGATTTTTCCACTTATATATATATATATATATATATATATATATATATATATATATATATATATATATATATATATATATATATATATATATATTATATGGGGGTGGGCAACTGAGACTATATTTACAGACAAGGCATTGCCACATACATTTTCTTGCCTAACTAGAATCTAGATTATTCTAGATCTAGGATAGATATAGATCTAGAATCTAGATCTAAAGCTGTAGACCTAACTTTTAAAAATGATTTTGTCATGTTTGTGCGGCCTTTTATTTTGCGAAGTTATGAACTATAGCGCCACCTACTCAAGTAATTTTAAACATGGCTACCTTATTGTTGTAGAAGTGGATTAAGATATTTCGTTGTGATCATTGGTGTGTGTATTGTTTTTTTTTTAAGTTATGATTGCATTATTTAACTTAAAGATATTGATCTGTAGAATCTACATGATTTCGCTTTCTATTAGCTTCTTTGTCAATTTATTTACGAAATCTCGATCTGGAGTTTGAATAATTTCTTTATTCACACGTGATGTGATGGTCACAGCGGGTGGAAGGTGCACTTGCCACTAGAATACTAGATCTAGTCTAGATGACTAAATCTAGATCTAACTAGATTCTAGTAACTAGAGTCTAGTAACTAGCTTAGCGAGCGGCATAGCCACCCACTACTAGATCTAGACGTTAGATCTAATCTAGTTCTAGAGCTAGTCTATCTACACTATCTAGAGATCTAGAATCTAAATTTTTAGATTTGCTAGATCTAGATAAAAAGATATAGATCTAGGCCTATTTAAATATATTATTATTAGATATCAAATTTAGTGCTGTTTAGTCAGTGGCGTAGGGGGGGGGGGTTCCCCCCCCCCATAGAGTATAGACCCCTTGGTATATATATATAAAGTATGAGGGGGGGGGGGTGCAAATCAAAAGTTTGAGGAAGGGGGGGGGGGTGCAATTAAATAGAAAGTTTGTCCACGGGTAAAAATTGGAACCCCCCCTATTTACGATCCTAGCTACGCCACAGTGTTTAGATATGTGAAACTTCAATAAATTGTGTGTAATGTGTCTAATAAAGTTAAAGAATAAAGGGTAAAATCACGATATAGCGTCGGTTATTATTTTATTCCGGAAATGTACAGCAGTAAAAAACAGTAAAACCGTGGCGTAGTCTGTCGAGCTGTTCCGGAAACCACCAGAAATACTGTAAACCATCATTTATTTGCCGCCATATTATTTTTAATGATAATGTTTAAAAATGTGCAAGGATTGATTTTAGTTGCAATTTAAATAGGCCTAGGGGCCTAATTATTTTGTATTTCTAATTATTTTAAGTGTATGCGCTAATTATTGCTGCTACTAAACATTATTCTAGTTCTTCTTACTACTTTTAACTTTAGTACCTAAATCTAATCAACTTATTTTACTAACAGAACTAGAGCTGGTTGTTGTAATTATTGTAAATCTTCTGCAGGTTTTTTCTGTGTTTCTTAAAAAAAAACATTAATTACTACACTCGACTTTATTAATAATATTTAGATTTACTAGGCCATTGTTGCTAATTTTTTGTCAGTTAAACATTAAATTAAGTTAAAACATTAATTTAATGCACTTGGCTTTATTTTTCTTTCAAGGGTCAAATAAACTACTATGGTTTACAGTAACGAATGTTACCGAAACTCAACGAACATTACCCAATAATTTCCGACGCTATATCGTGATTTTACAAAATAAAGTGTAATTTATTCACTGCTTCGCGACTTCCCGTTCACCTACACTAGATCTAGTACTAGCCTACAGTCTACAGTCAGTACAGTAGGCCAATTTTAATCAAAATAAAACTTAAGGCCTAACACTGGAATTGAATTAAAACAACCAAAACAGCTAGGGCCTAAATAAAAAGGCCGATGCTAGCCGGAAAAAGATATGCATGCGCAATGGAGAGAAACTACGACTTGCTATCGCAGCGATGTTTTTTGGTGGTACTGCGTATGCGTTTGTTTACAACCGCAGAACCCTAACACCAACTCTAATGCCTAACCCTAGCCATAGGTCACTGCGCAGAGCTATCTTTTGCCTACTAAGTGGAGACATCGGGGAGAAAAATCTTCTTCTGAGTAGTCACTTCGAAATAAAAAAGGAACTCCTTAGGCTTAGGCCCTAATTATTAGGCTACTAATTATAAATTAAGCCTTATTTCCTTTGGGAGCTATTCATAATTATTAATTCAGTATGCCTAACTGCTTCATGTCATATATCTAGAAAGATTAGGCCTGGCTAAAATGGCCTAAATTAATAAAATGTAAGCAAAGGGACCTAGACTAATTATTTTAACACGTTTTTATTAACTCAGCTTCGCGTGTGTTTGTTGTTAAAATTGACATCGAAAATTAGCCCACTTCTGATTGCTCTATAGATCTGAAATTTGGCATGTAGGCTACTTTCGCCTAACAATTTCAGAGGCAATCATACAAACTAGCAATTAGAGACCGTAATTAGCTTAATTTAATTACGCCCCAAGGACCATAAAATTGAGGACATGATTTCTAAAGATACCGACTAGACTGGATGCCTATTGACACAGTTACTTCGGCCCCAATCGATGTGAGCGCGCTGGCCGTGATCGAATAGTGGTTAGTACTTCGCGTTGTGGCCGCGACAACCCAGGTTCGAATCCTGGTCGCTCAAAATTTTTAGTCCGTGTATTTATAAACACTTAGTCAAGTCATACTTAATCAAGTCATTAGATAAAGTAGAAAATAAACTATATAAAAAACTTTTTTAAAAACCACGTTTTTCATGTGTAGCAACGGACTAAAAAGGAGAAAATAAAATACTTAAAAAAACTTTTTAAAAAACCACGTTTTTCTTGTGGACTAAAAAGTAGCAAATAAATTTTCATACATTTGATGACAAAAAACGTGGGTCGGGCAGATGGGTCGGGAAATTTGATGGTGAACGTACCCACGTTTTTTGTCATCAAATGTATGAAAATTTATTTGCTACTTTTTAGTCCACAAGAAAAACGTGGTTTTTTAAAAAGTTTTTTTAAGTATTTTATTTTTATTTCAACTTTTAACAATTGTAATACCAATGTAAACTAGAACTAGAGAGTAGAGATCCAGATTCTATCTCTAATCAACCAGTTTGATGGTTTTAAACCATACGTCTGGCTCATTTGGGGCTTAGATTATTAATAGATAGGGCATTTTAATTTTTGGTGACACACAGTCTAGCCTTTATTGCATTACTCACCATCAGTGATAAGAGTTGCATCTCTTTGTAAGGAAGGGCATTCCCCCCTCCGATCCCCCAACAAAGAAGGATTTGTACAATATTTTGAGTCGACCCTTTGTATCCCTAGCAGAACCCCCGACGTGGCCTTAACTAGCTCTAAGAGTCTAAGTCACTCTGGGTCTTAAAAGGTCTAAAGGTGCTCAAGCCCCAAGGCAAACATCAACCAACATAAACAACTTCAATATTTATGTTGATTAATTTGTACTAATGAATGGTACCACCGTACATTAATAAATAATAATTAATATTTACCTACTGACTAAAGTTACTAGTTAATCTAGGTAAGTCTATCAAAACTTCAGGTTCTAGCTAATTAGTAATTCTAACATAACTTCCATCTACCTCAACAGATACAGTTTTTGAAGTAAAAAATGGCTGATAGTGATGATGAGTTTGAAAGAAAAAAAGGACGAGATAAGTTCAGAAGAGAGCGTAATGATTATGAACGTCGCAGTGATGATAGACGTAGGGAAAACTGGGATGACAGGTAGGCCTAATTCCTAGTTTATATTAATATCAAGATTGCAGTTAAGAGTTTAAATGTATAATTTTAAAAGATCAACCAAATGGTTAAGCTTAAAAACTCCCCCTCCCCCAACAACAACAGTATTTAATGCAAATACTAGGATAGAATAATTAAGAAATATTACCAAATGTGTTGTTAATTATTACACCCAAAAAAGTGCTTATATAAGACCTCAGCATTTTTTAAAAACCTGAATAAATATGTTAACCCCTCTATTATATTAAGAAAATAGGCCTAATTAATTTTTTTAGTAGATCTTAAGAAAACTTATTTCATTAAATTGGACTCAAATAGCTTTCAAGTAAATTTATACTTCTCATTGTGTGTAACACCCATGTGGTAAAAATTATTGATTGCCAAAACATTCTTGTTAAAATTGGATTTCTTCAAAAGAAACTAGCTAATATTTTTTGTTTGCAGATAAAACTAATAAAGCCCAATTTCTTAAATGACATCTGTCACATTTTTTGTACTGTTTTCTGTTGAAGGAAAAATACAACTCGTCATATTATTTTCATTTAATGATGTAAAAAAACCTTGTTCACTACAAAAAAAAAACTGTCTAGCTTGTATCATATAATTTTAAAAAATGTGCATGTAACTTAATTTACAAAGCCACTGTTTTTTTCTCTTATGTTTTAGAAGACCATCTGTGAGAGGACAGTAAGTACATTTTTTTACAATCTTTATTTCTCTGAGGGAAGGGGATTAATATTGTTTTTCCTTGCAATAATTTTAAAAAAATATTCTGGTATAATAAACCATTACTGAATTATCCTATTATTTTTTTTCAAATATTGTTTTTAAGAAAGATAAATATTTGGTTGCTTAGTCTGTTACATGAGCACACCTCTCTAGTGCAGCATCATTGTTATAACTTGGGTATTCTGGTAGCTTGTGTCTCAGCTTTAGCCCATTTATCCTCTATTGTTCATTTGAATACATTTTAAAAACACTAGCTGAAAATTATAATTATTTTTTTTATCACTGCATTAATTCTTGGCTGTTCATTTCTTAAACTAACAAGTAAAGGGTGTGTCTGTTATGTCACTTATTTATCAAATCGTAAACTACAAGAGGTAACAATCTAAAATGTACAAAAGGCATTCCATTCTGATAATTTGAAAACACATGACATACAAGATTTCTATTAGTGGCTTTCTCCATTTTAAATGATTGAAAACTGATGCCTACAAGTTTTTTCCCTTAGGAGAGAGTTAAACATATATACCGCTTAATTTTTGCAAGTTGTGTTGGAAGATATAAAAATCTTCTAGTTGCATAAATGCACGAATCAATTTTGTTATCTATTATGCAATTGTCGCCAATGCCCCATAATACCTCTTTCTGTTATTTCAGACGAGGGTGGCGGGGCAACTCGTGAGTATGATTGTCACCTCTAGCTGTCATGGATCGTACTCACTTTTATAAATAAAATAGCCATTTCAAATTATAGAAAAAGTTTATTACAAAGCATCAAATACTTATGGGGGAAAATTTTCAGAAAAATAGAGACACTATTTTTTTTACACATTTGATTTAAAAAGCTTTTTTTTTTAGAAAGTTTAATTTATACATGTGTATACTTAGCTACAAGCAATGTTTGTCTGATGATAGGTTTACCTGTTTTATCAAAGGATGCTTGCATTATGGCTTTTTTAATGAACTTGACGCATTATTATTAAATTCAAGTTAATTTTTTATAACAGTTTTTATTGATCTTTTCAATATGGTGCCAATTGAGATGTTTTACAGTTTTAAAAAAATTGTATTGCTTTGTGTTTATTTTCAAAATTAAAAATTTGATCTTGAATTAGGGGTCTCAAACCTTTTTAACAGCCTACACTACACATGGCTGGGGAAAATGCCTCACTATGATTATGCATTAAGACAAACACATTCTCCAATTTATTATTATATATTAAAAATTATAATTTTTTCAAAAATGTTTATCAATACAGCTATATTGCTAAATTTAGTTTATAGTTTCTATTAGGATAAAACAGTCAACATTAGGGTAACAAAAAATGAATCTTTGGTTTGACTGTTTGATCTAAGCCAGTACATAGAAAAACTTGAAAAAGTGAGGACTAAAAGAGAATGCTAACAACCACACATTTTTTTGTATGTTTAAAGAAATGCTAATCACTTCTGACAGCTACTGTTAATGGTAACCTTATTGGAAATATATTTAAAAAAAATAGAACCATTAAATTGTTAATAAGAAAAATTAATTCACTTGCTACAATAGTAAGCTCACCATCTGTTATCTCTTTCATAAGTCAAATTATGGTAGTTCAATTACATTTTGTGGAGCTTAGTATTTCTTAGCAAAAATGTATGGTGTTCATACTTTTGATGTTTTGGACACAGGTGGGTTGTGTGTTTGAGACCCCTGTCTCTTTAAAATTGTGATGCCCTTTGTGTAATGTTGTCTACTAAAAAAGGAGCAGACTCTGAGTGTAGTGAAAATTCTCCTTCTAATACCTATTAGTTGCAGTAGTCTTAAAACAAACTTTTAATGCTTGAATGTAGATAATTAACAGGTTTACATTTGTGTGTGTATTAAAACTTTAAATTAGTTATTGCTGGTTCTGTTATGCAGTGTTTGATTTTTAATGCTGCACGTTGATGAAGTTTTAAGAAAGCTAAATACCAGGCTAGCAGACTTTTTATTTCTGCTGTAATCAAGTAGGAGCCGCAACATTTCTGTTCACAGAGGAGGAATGAGGCGAGACATGTGGCCAGGCAGGGGAAGTAATATGCGAGACAGGAGAGACATGTATACTAGACCTTATGATGACAGACGCAGAGAACGTTACAGTCCTGGTCGATATGATGCAAACCCACACCCAGCTAAACGCATGAGGAGAGATGATTTTGAAGGGGGCTATCCTGGAGCATATGAAAGCCCATTTACAGTTAGCAATGGACCCCCTGGCATGGACAGGCCAAACTGGAATCCCAGAGGCATGGAAGTCAGTAATGGGCCTCCAGATCGTGGTGGTTTTGGTGAACGCAGAGATATTGGGTTAGTGGGATTGTTGTCTTATTTTAAAATGTTTTAACGCACCAATGCAGAGATATTTGGTTAGTGGGATTGTTTTCTTATTTTAAAATGTTTTAACGCACCAACGCAGAGATATTGGGTTAGTGGGATTGTTGTCTTATTTTAAAATGTTTTAGCGTACCGATTAATTTTTGTAATGGTTAGTAGGATTGTTTTCTTATTTCAAAATGTTTTAGCTTACCCATTACATTTTTGTAATTGACATTTAGAATGTTGAATAATCTAATATTTTCTCCAGGGATGCGGATTATCCAACTCAACCTCCCATGATGACTTTCAAACAGTTTCTCAGTAAGCAAGATGACACTATATCTCAGGATGAAGCCATTAAGCTGTTTGATGATTACAAGTTAGATTTCAAGCGGCAACAAATCAATGAATTTTTTTTGGCTCACAAAGATGAAGAGTGGTAAGGTTTCTTTCAAAACCATATGCTTTGTTATTAGGCTTTCAGATGTATTTCATTATTAAAATACTTAGAAGCACATAGTTTTGAGATTCTTTCTAGTTGTTCACTGAAAAAAGATGTCTTAAGTAACATGTTGAGTATAAAACTTAACCTTTTCTGTTTATTGTGATAGACTGCTTTTTGCTCTGATTGAAATGAACTGAAGTTATCATGATCATTTAAAAAAAACAATGAAAAGTCTGGAAATGTTCTTCAGTTCATTTCATCAGCTTTGTAATAATGCATATCTCTTGTTCAACAGTGGTGGAGAGAATAAACCAAAGTCTTGTTCGTACTTACAATGGTAGTGTTAGGGCACACTGCGCACAATGCAGTGTTTAGATTTTTCAAAGTTTTAGGCAGTTTCTAGCTACTATAACTCGGGAGTAATTTTTTTCCTGGATTTCTCATGTCAAGTGGAGAGAATTCAGTGTGTATAAATTCATTATGAAATAATGTGAAAGGAATAACAAAGAGGTGGAGTAATCAACTGGGCTTAAGGTATAGATTCAGGTGGTTTGTCTTGTTTTTGTTGTGTCCATCTGTTACTTGAGGTATGTTATCATCTGAAGCTACTTGACACTCCATCCTGCCATTCAGCTGATAGCACGTGTGCACTAGACATTATTTTTTCTTCAGATTGATGTGTAGGTTTTGTCTCATTAGTAAAGCACTGATTCCCAATCCCACTACCTTGCTAGTCTTGTTTTCCTTATGTTGCACACTTTGCTTGAAGTAACAATAGTGCTTTTGGAAAATGAATATCCAGTATTGAATTGATGAGATTGGGAACCACTGTTTAGTATGGTCATGTTATTATTTTTAGAAATCTCATTCAGCTGAATCCTGCATCATTTGTATCAGTATTCTTTATGCTAATCCTGACACAGTAGATTGAATTAGTTCCTTGTCCTTCAGGTTCAAGTCTAAGTATCACCCTGAAGAATGTGAAAAAAGGCAAGTTGAGATCAGAGACGCACTTCAAACGAGAAAGAAGGTCTTTGAAACACTGAGAGAAAAGAAGTTTTTTGAAACTGTTTCTGTGGATGTGGAGTGTACTGATCCACTGGTTAAAATAATGGATGCTGGTAAATTCTGTTTTGCTTGTATCAAAATGTTTAACTTAAAAAGTTTGGTTCAGTTTTTAGAATGATTTTTTTTTTACTTGGTCAAATGTAATTAAAATTAATCCCCCCCACCCCCACCCGCTACATTTTCATGTTTATTTTAAGGGCCATAGAATTTTTTGTACTAGTTTCTCAAAGAAAATAGTGTTTAAATGCAAAACTAAGATGTAGTTTAATTTAGCGATTGTTAAAAAAACCTGTCTAGCTGACGACTAAACTTGATTGGTTTGTGTTTCTTAAGGGGATATGCTATGTTTTTTTCTATTTTTTACAGTTTAAGATCTAAAGCCTTTTGAATACTTTAATCATATTTGGCATATAAAAGTAAGTATTAAACAGCAAAAAAAAAGGTCGAAAACAATTTTGGTTGTCATGGAAACCAAAAAACCTCCGCCATTTTGAATTTTTCGGTACTTTTAAAAATGCTAAGGCTTTTTTATTTATGCATCTATAGCAATCAAATTTAAACTGCTTATATTTCACTATATATTAAAACTTTTGTCACAACAACTTTTTGAAATAATTACTAGTAAGAATTTTACAAGGTCTAAAAAATCGTACCTTTTTTAGTATTCAAAAGTTTCAAAATGTGCATATTAATTACCAAATACTTTTTTTCTATGAAAGCAATCACAATTCCCTCGTGACAAAAGTTGTATTTTTGCATAAAGAACGTTTACTGAAAATATGGTTGGCATTGTTTAATAAATAAAAAAGTAGTAGGCTTTTTAGTGTTAAAAACCTGCGAACTGAGAAAAACAGCCAAAAGTAACGAAAAGTAGGTCAGGAAAGTACCATATCTGTGTAAACTGCAAAGCCGATTGTAAGCTTTGGGTGTTTCCGAGATGTAGGAAATTAAGTTTATTAAATACATGAGAAATCCAGCTTTCCAATGATGTCAAATACAATATAATGACCAATACATATAATGACGGATATAAAACTTTTCATAAAGAGCTTGTAAGATTGGGAAAAATTGATTATTTTTAATTAATAGGGTCATAAAAATCGTAATTCAAACACATAAAATATTTTTTTTTCTTTAAAGTTATTATTTTCTATATACAAAAATGGACAAAGTATCCAAAAGTGCAAGAAACCCATCATGACGAAAAACAAGAAATTTTGTGAAGGGTTTATAATGATCAATTTTACTGAACAAATATTGAATCAACAGCAGCTTCCTTTAAATTGTTGATGTATTTTTAGCTGTCATTCTACTGGAGGGTGGAAATGATTTGGATCTCACTATTTTGGACAACCCACTCGATGAAGTCACTGATCATCCTGCCCATAACACTGAACCTGTTGCTACACCAGTAAAAAAGTAAGGAAGTTCAAATGGCTTAAATATAATAAAGAACCATTCAGCAATATAAAAAAAAACATTGGATAATAACTACTTTGTTTCTCAAGTTCATTTAAATATTGAAGCTAACTAGTTATCTGCAAACTATAAAGAGAATTCAATTAGTAGAAGTACAATTTAAAAATACATATTTTTAGTGATGATAAGCATTTAAAAATTGCAAACTACTAAATATAGAGGAAAAAAGTCAATACTCTGAAATGGGTAAACTAACTAAAAGTCAATACTCTGAAATAGACAAACAAACAACTAAATACAGAGAGAAGTCAGTACTCTGAAATACACAAACAACTAAATTCAGAGCAAGAAAAGTCAATAGTTTGAAATTGACCACTAAATTCTAAGTCAATACTTTAATGAGAAATGTTAAAAAATAGATGGTGAATTTCTGCCATTAGAATTAAACTGAAAATAGCCATCAGATACATTTATGAAACCATAAAAAGTATTAATAAGGCAAAATACTTAAAATGCTGACAGATGTTTCTATAATTTCAGTGAAAAGAAAACAGATGGGGAAGATGGTGAATTAAGTGATTCAAAGTAAATTGTTTTGTTTTACTTAGTCTAAAATTTCACAAACTCCAGCCTTTAAAACTTTAAAAACATCTTTGAAATAATATTTTAAACAGGCAGAATAATTATTTGCCTGTAATAACTCTACATAATTTAACAGTATTCAATATACTCTCTTTTTGTAAAAAAATAGTTTATTATGGTGATTGGGTGTCATAAAATGCAGTACATAGATGAATTTTTTTCTCTCTTTTTTTTACTGGAAGTTACTAAATTATCCAATTAACAAATGGGATCTCTATTAATCAATTGGGCAGGTTGTGTATACATACATTATGAATTATTTATATAAAGGTTGTGTTTTTTTGGTTTGTTGCATCTCTTGATCCACTTTTGCTACATTAAAAGGTGATTTGCTTCAGGTTTAGTGAAAAATTGGTCTAAAGCTGAAGATTGATATATGAAAATATTTGTTTTATATTTATTTACCAGACAAGCTGGAAATGGTTTAATTATGCAGTTATTCCAGTTTTAATATTATTAAGGCTAAAGAGTTAAATCACTCCATAGGTGTTCTATTTTTGTGTCTGTTGTCTACAACTTCCTCTTATTTTGTTTTCCCACAGTGATAAACATGACGAAGAAAAGGACACAGATCAGGAGAAAAATCAAAACCCAAAAGATGTAAGGTGTTAATTTAAAACCTGTTACATTAGTCATTGTCTTGCAATGAAAAAAATGTAGCTTTTGAGAATAACTTGTATATGAAACTGCTTGTAGGCTACATTAGAAGTATCAATAAGCCCAGAACAGGAAGAACTGAAGAAAAAAGCCATAGAATACAAGAAACAGCAAGAGGAGGCTGCTGCTGAAGCTAAGGTAAATCAAGGTCTACTTTCTTATTACACTTGTTTCATGTTGAAGTAGCTTGAATCATTTTTAAAATAATGTAAATTTCTACCTGCAGGCACAGCGTAGGAAAAAGAAGAGCATGAGAAAGAAGTCAGATTACAGCTATGAAACTGATAGTGATTCTGGGTCAGAATCTGATTCAGATCCAGAGCCTGCACCACCAGGTATGGAAGCAACTGATGGTAAATACTTTTTATGGATTTTTTAAAACAAATTTTTTAACTAAACTAAACTGTACAGAGAAAGTTAATCATAATATTACCACTGTGGTACAAACCAAGCCTTTACTTGTACATGAAAGTTTAATTAAGTAATAGCCCAGCCCTCATAGGGCTCCTGACTTAGCGTTTAAGTTAAGGTGGTTATGCATTTGGCCACACACAGTAGTTATATTTATTAGTCCAAGAATTTGATGATTATCTATCTTATGTGAAGATTTGTTTTAAATGTCTTATTCACATGATTTTCTTGTTTATTCTGATTCTTTGCTATGCTGCTAAATTTTGTAAAAAAATTCTTCAATAGGGTTGGATGATAATCCAAGTCCAGCGGGCCTTGAAATGGATATCTCAGATAAAGAAAAAGTTACTGAAAGTATGCAATTTAAAGTCTTATAACCATTTCTAATTAATTTGACAAATCATATTGTCTTTTTTTAAAGTGTACATTGCCTAAACTTGATCATTGCCTACCCTTGATCATTGCCTACCCTTGATCATTTCCTACACTTGATTACATTTTATTTGAAGGTGAAGATAATAAAGAAAAGGACAATGCTGCAGAAACATCAAAAGAGAAAGAAGAAATAGTGGAAATAAAACCAAGGCCATTGCACAGAACCAATTCCATATTTTTAAGAAATTTAGCTCCTACTATAACAAAGCAAGAAGTTGAAGCAGTAAGCTACTTTTTTTAACTCTTATTTTTGCTACTAACATCTTTGCGAGAATTAGTGATGGAAGTGTTTGGTTAGTCTGCTATCTTAAAAATGTATGACTTGACAGTTGAGCTAAATTTCATTTTTCTCTTTTAGCTATGTCGGAGATACCCAGGATTCAAACGTGTAGCATTACAGGATCCTCAGCCTGAAAGACGCTTTTTTAGACGTGGCTGGGTAACATTCTCCAAAGAATGTAATATAAAAGAAGTTTGTTGGGCATTAAACAATATCAGAGTAAGATTTTTACCACTACTTTCTAAATACTTTACTTAAATTAAGTGCTGTTTAATATTTGAACATTATTCTTTCATTGTTTTTATTTGTAACATAATGAGGTTGAGTAATTTAGTTAACTAATCTGTAACAGTTGAGGGATTATGAACTTGGAGCCACGTTAAACAGAGAGTTGAAACAGAGGATTAGAGCAGCGAATGGGATCACTATTCATAAGCAAGTAATGAGAAATGACATTAAAATGGCAGCTAAGATCATCCAAATCTTGGATAAAAAGTATAAACTTTGGAATGATCCAGAAGAAGAAAAGAAAGATGATGAAAAAGAGGTTGGTGTGTTACTGCAAGCATTTGAATAGAGGGATAACCATAGATTTATACTCAGAGATATATTGTTCTTAGCCAATATAAATTACTGTAATTGTTCTTTCACAGCAAGAGTTTGGGTTTGTCTCTAAAAACCCTGTGCTGAAAAATATTACAGATTTTCTTGTAGAAGAAGGCAGCTTTGAAGAAGATGAACTTATGGGTAAGTTGCCACAAGACCAAAGTTTTTTGTTTATTTTGACACCAATTGAATGTAATGCTGTTAATTTGTTGACCATAGTTAAAAATTTAAAAAGGTTTTATTTTTTAAATTTTGTTAGGTGGCTCAGATGAGGACAAAAAAGATGTAAACCCTGAAATCTGTGTGGAGAAAGATGAATCATTAGCACAGGTATAAAAAAATGTGACATAAAATGTACAAAGTTTGTATTTATGAAATGGATGTTTGTTTTATTCTGCTTGTAACCATCTCTTGACCAGGCTGTGGATCGCATGGTTTTGTATTTGAGGCTGGTCCATTCCATTGACTACTATAGTGCTAATGAATACCCTAACGAGGATGAAATGCCCCATAGATGTGGTATAATGCATGCTAGAGGAACACCACCAGGACCTACTGCAAAGTTAACACAGAATGATGGTGAGATTTCAAAATGTTTCCAATTTCACTTGTGTGTTAACTTTTTTAATATATTTAGAACTGTGTGATAATACTGATTTAAAAAACTATTTCAGTGAATGAATGGATGAGCAGTTTTGAGAAGAAACTAAAACCTTTTCTTGAGGCTTCCCAACAAATTCCTGATACAGATGCCACCCAGCTGGGCAAGAAAGATCCAGATTTATATCCTTGGTTTTCTCTTATAAAGTCATAGTTTTAGTTTATACTTGATTACAAGTTAATTTTAAGAATACTTGGAAGTTAATAAAATACTAAGCATGTTGATAGTAATTTTACTTTGTAAGTATCTTAAGGTTTTGAATGCTAAACATGTTGACCTTAACTTTATGTACAGAAGTAGAAAAGTTTGTTCAAGCCAATACTCAGGAGTTGTCTAAAGACAAATGGCTTTGTCCGCTGTCTGGTAAGAAATTCAAAGGACCAGACTTTGTTAGGAAACACATTTTCAACAAGCACCAGGAGAAAATTGATGAGGTTAAGCAAGAGGTTCGTTCTTTTTATTGTCACTGTACTATTCCTAGATAGGCATATCATATATACAGTTAATGATTTAGATTTGGTCCACACAATTGCTATAGCTTATGGTTAACTTTTAGGTCAAGTTCTTTAACAACTATCTTGTGGATCCTAAACGACCATCTTTACCTGAGCATCCAAGCAGCAGACCCAAACCACCACCACCAGCCCCATCTCCCCAGCCTCAGGCTCCCGTAGCACAGCGCACAGATCCATTTGGCTACACTTCACCAGGTAGCATGGGTGGTTATGGAATGGCAAGACCCATGTATGGAGCTAATGGTGCTGGGGGTAAATTTTTTTCTTCACATTGATTTGATCCTTAATATTTTTTAATATCTATAATATTTTATAGGAAAATTTTGTCAGGTTTAAGAAATTTGTCTGAAATCTTCTGTTTTAATCAATAAAATGATTTAGTAAATATTGTATTAGAGAAAATATCAATTGGATTGAGGTAGCTTTATTACAGGAAGATGATCTGTTATTTTTTTAATTTGAATAGCTAAATAATAAACAGATAACGTCAGTGATATCAACAAAAAATATTGTTTAAAAAAAGCCGCCTCCAATTACACGTTTTAAAATTCTTAAAAGAAATCAACAGTCATTGGACTGCTTTTACAATATCTCTATACTTGAATAATTCACATTACTATTAAAATCAAATTCAATTTTAAGGCATTTTAAGTAGCTTTTCTTTTACTTTTTTATTTTTGAAACAATAATTAATAACTTTATTCAGAAATTGTCAAAAATGGTTAACGATGATAAAAATATAAATAAACTTATATTTTCCTTAAATATGAAAATCTTTCATTTTTCAAAAAATACTTAGGTAAAAGTTCATATTTCAGCCTATCAGAGCCCTTTTACAGTCCGTGATAGTCGACCTTCCCCTGATACATTCAGGAGGGCAAATTTTGGCGGAGCAACAAGACCGTATCGTCGATCTGATCCTCGGCAGCTGATTCAGTATACAGATCTTGATGCTCCTGATGATGGAGATATTTTTTAATGCTTTTGTACAAAAACATTTGTCATTTAAAAAAACAATACTACTTTCATTTCTTTTGTAATCTGACAAGTGAGGTTAAATGGTTTATTTGCCTGTATGTAATTCAATAGTCTTTGTAATCCAAACTTGTTTTATGTTCGAAAGGTATAGTTTTCTGTACATTTTTAGCTTGTTGGTCTATATTTTTTCAACAAAGCAAAATACTTTTTGAGTAGTATGTTTTGTGTTAATAACTTTCAGGTGAGTGAGCTTAGTCTTAGTAGTATAAACATTCATTGTCTGCTGTATTCAATTTGCAGATGAGTCACATTGTTTTTATTTTTAAATAAAAAATGTTTTAAAAACTGATTGCATTTTGTTTACTTTTGTTTAGTGGAAGTCCAGCATTATGATCTCACAGATTATCCCCTAAAAGTATATTGATTGACTTAAAATATTCTTTGTCCAAAGCACACATTTAATCACACTAGATGCACCCACTCATAATTGTTTCCAAATTTCATTTCTGATCATGCAAGAATAGCTTTTAATTTAATCGTATATAAATTGATAAAAATTCAAAACTTTAAACATAATGGAAATGTCAATATACAACACTAGGTTGAGTGGCCCCTGAAGGTTTGAACATTCACATCTTGCCAGTCTCTCCACTTGTGGTTTGCAAACTGTCAGTGCTTTTCCCCTAATAAACCAAAAATATTGGCTCTTGCCTATATTTTATAATTAGTCAAAAAATAGCTAATGATCTACATTTCTAAAAATCACTAGTCACTTTAAACTATCCAGAGACAAAAACTATGTATTCTTATAGCTGTATATGTAAAATTGCACCACTTCAAACACAAGTTGCAGCAGGGTGGTACATCTGCCATAAACTGACACATTACACCACAAGTCACCAGACTTTCAAGTTGTGATCCTTTGCTACAGAAACTTGAAACTCAATTTAAACTTATTTTACATCAAGACACCCCCCCCCCCCCCTAAAAAAAAGAAATTAAAATAAACCATAAGCAACCTATAGATTGGGAACCTGTTTTCTACACCATTTGCAACAAACTTTTTCATCAGAATGAGGTGTTACGCTAGTTAGGTACTATTAATAACAAAAAAAACAACAAAAAAGAATTGATATTTTATTTTGCTCCCATGATTTAGCAGAATTATACATTAGTTAAGAAAAAATTAATATGCACACGTTCTATCATTACATCTCTCAGCTGGCTCTCAATATAATAAAAAACAAAGTTAAATAACCTAGTAGTAGTAAGTATTTACAAAATACATTTAATTTTTTATGTACAGCATCTAAAGATGTAATGATGAATTACAAAATGTTATAATGGTATCTTGCGTACTAAATATAAAATGAATACTAATCTGTTTGTTAAATAATTAAACTATAAACATTGCTTTATGCTGATAAAAAATTGCATCAATAACTTTGTTGGTAAAGAAAAAAGCTACTAAATTTTTCATTCTTATTGAAATTATTTTGTTCAGGTTTTATGGCTAATACTACTTTACTGCCAGGATTTGTGTTGAAGATCAGTAAAACAAATTTTATTTCAACTCTGCTGGCATAGTTATAATTATAAGAATTGAAATTATTACCAGCACTTTTAAAAAAAAAAAAAACCCCAGATGTTTCAGCACAGCTAAAGAGTTTTAAAAAATGTCAATGAAAGCTGCATAGCACTTTTTAAGATATGTAAGTTTGTAGCTCCCTAACAATAAAAAGACATTAGTAACATGAGGCTTTATGGTGCAACTAAATCAAAGATCACAATTGTATGAAGATGGAATTTATTTTACAATATATACAACAATATTTTATATAAATACATCACAAAACATTATTTGCATTGCTATTTAACAGTAACTATGTACAATCATTTTTTTATATTAAATAACTATACATGGAAAAATTCTTTAATATTATGTTATAGTTTTCATTCACCATGTTAGTTTGGTTTAAAAATGTTTTAGGCTTGTAATATTTGGGTAATAACTGGTACAGTTACTCAAATATTTTATTTTATAAATTACCATTTAGGCAGTCATTCAATAAACTTAATTCTCACAGCATACTATCATTCTTTTATTTAGTCATTTGATATATTCATATACATCTTAGTTTTCACAGGCATACTATCATACTTTGTATTTAGTCATTTGATATATTCATATACATCTTAGTTTTCACATGCACGCTATCATACTTTCATATGATATATCAATATAGATCTTCAATGCTACAAGCAAAAATATTTCTGATTTGTCTCCACCAAAGGCACATTTGAACTAATATACAGTATCACCTCCCCTGAGCACCACTGTATTTGACATTGATCTATGTACAAGTTATGGCATCTTCTGAAGTCTTACAAAAACATAAACAGTTTCATTTTGTCATGTAATCTGGTTGGGCAGCTATCTTAAATGTATCCGCCTTACGGAATATTTAGCTTTCACTGCCAAGTGTGCAAATGTCTTTAGGTAAATTTAGCAATAGAAGTAACAGTCCTCAAAAAAATAGAGTGAAATAAAAAAGCATTACACAGCAGATAGTATTTTTGACTAGCTTGAATAAAGAATTTTTCAGCACTAAATTGTTGATGAAGACTACTAAACTTTTGAAGTACAAGAAAAAAAAAACAACTACTGCATGAATAAATGTTAACAAATTACAAAAATAATGCTGCAAGTTAACAAATAACAGAACAAACATTTGTAGTATATATTAAAATTATAAAACATGATAATGTATACTATGAACAATAAATGCTGTCTACAGGCAGCTAGAGTTTACTGCTATTCAGTACATTTGTAATAAATATTTATATGTGGAACATGTTTGCTAACAAATCTACAACACTATGTCTAGGGTTCCATCACAAATGTTATGATTTGGTGCAGTTGAGTTCATCATAGCCATCAAGGCAGTCTAACACACCATCACAGAAGAGACTGATGTCCAAACACATGTTGTTTCTACAAGGCTTTTTGCTTTCAGGGCAGACTACGGCTGAAATCATTTCATTTAAATTAGTTCAGGGAAATTTATTATGCTACCTTATAAACTGTTAATACTTTTTTGTGTGTACAAAAATTATATTTGATAATGATTTTAAAGAGTCTTGCAATTTAAGATATTGTGTCACATAGTCGTGAAAGACAATATAATCCCTCAACAAAAACTTGAACAGCAGTTAGTGTGCAATGTTGACAATTTCTGGCCTGCAACTACAATATTTAAGTTCTAAACTAGCAAATGTTTCTACTGCTCATTAGTGTTAATATTTTTATTGTTAAAAAAAAACCTGGTCTTACCTTGAGGTAGAGCACTTGCAATCCTCACACCTAGAGGGATTAAAACAAAAATAAAGAGGTAAAAACAGGTTTCAATTCATCCTATTTTTTACTTCACAAACAACAGTGAAGCCACCCTAATATGACAATTTTGTTTTAATACAACTAATGGTGCAGTATATAGAAAGTGATCTATAGGTCATCTGCATGAGCCGCATTTTTATTTAACTCCATCCAACTCGATGAGTACCTAAATCATGTTAGGGAAAGTAAGTCGGCTGGGCAGTGTTGACCACACCATCCTTTCATATGCCAAGGTCACAGGAACAGTTGAACTCTACTTCACTTGTCCCATGAACTGTCATGTTCAAAACCAGCAGACCCCATTCCTTGTGGTCAGATTCAGGTGGGGGGGGGGGGATATTTACTGGGAATCTTCTATCAACCCAGTGATCAACACCATCCTTCTAGAGGCTTATGTACAACTGGTCAGAGTTCTACACCCCTTCCCATATATTTTATATTATTTGCAATTATTTCTGTACTAGAACTTTCCATAAATAGTTTAATATTTAACAGTTTACATCAATATCAATTTCTATCATATGAAAACCAACTGACAATATAAGCAAGAGTATGGAGAGAATAGAATAATTTAAAATTAAAATTTAAAAAATCTCAATAATGAGGTAAATAATAAATCTGACCATCCACACAAAAGTTAACAAAATTTAGTTTGTACATAATTTCATGACAGTGGTCCCATGCTTGGTGTTTAGCAGAGAGATAAATCCAAAACAAGATAAAAGTAAAAGAAAACCATGCTGTATGTTTGTCAATAGGAATTTAACTCACTGTCTGTTCAGCTTCTCTGCTTGACTACATTAAAATAAGCGAACCAGAAAGTATTAGCAAATCAACCATCTATAAACACAGTTTTCAACAAAATTTCAACTTCAGCATAGAAGTCTAGTTTTGTGTCTAAACATTATATTTAGATAGAAGTAAACACTTTAAAAAATTAAAAAGCCACACTGAGGTGACCATGACCCTTCCCACATGTATATTTTCATTTTCACCATTGATATAACTTGAACAATAAGGGTAGCTACATTATTTGATGGTAAATTTACCAAGGCCATAGTGTCTGGTATTTCTTAATGTCAGGATTATTTTAAACATTGCAAACAGATCAACTTTCTTATTTTTGCTTGGCTGGAACTAAATACCCAGGGTAGCTTTGTCTAGAGTGATTTTATAGGGGAACGATTTGTTTCATGGTTTTCTGTTTTTCAGTTAAATAGGGTGCAAAGGAATGTTTTCAGAATTGTGATCTGACTCATCAGAATAGCAATGTGACTCATCAGAATAGTGATATGACTCATCAGAATTGTGATCTGACTCAAAATTGTGACGTGACTCATCAGAATTGTGATCTGACTCATCAGATTTGTGATGTGACTCAAAATTGTGATCTGACTCATCAGAATTGTGATGTGACTCAAAATTGTGATCTGACTGAACAACAAATAACTTACCAGTAACATGACTATCACAGCTCTCAGTGAGAAGTAAAATGTCATCAACAGCAATGATAGCATTGGCATAGGAACCTCTGTGAGCAAGAAATGATATGGTGATGTTGCCAACAGGGAGGTCAATGCATTTCATTTTCCAGAATTTATTATCATCAGGTAGAGCAAACCACTTCTCTTCCTACAGCAAAAAAAAAAAATAATTAAAATGTATAAGCTACAATTACTGTTATAAACTGTATTTCAAAACTTGTACATTTGTTCATAAGTATGACAAGACAAAAAATTGTCTTATGAATGGGTTATGAGAGATTTTCCCAACGGAATTAACTGCAAAGTTTCTAGTAATTATGAGCATATCAGCTTATTAATCAGGTTTAGAGCAATTAATAATAAAAGAAATGTCACTATAAATAGTTTTTTGATGAAAAAATATTGGAGTTGTTATTTATTTTAAAAGTTACCGTTATTATAATGAAACATTTTAAGTTCTACTATTTTTATTCTAATGTCAGCTTATGGGTTAAACTATTTTTATTCTATTGTCAGCTTTTCAGTTAATAAAAAAAAAAACTAGGTGTGTGCATTGTGTATAAGAGATGGTAAGATGATCAAATCTGCTTAAGTTAATAGAGTATGTGTTTCTTACTTTGGCTCCATTAGCGGTGCATGTGATGAGAAAAATGTGTTTCTTACTTTGGCTCCATTAGCGGTGTATGTGATGAGAAAAATGTGTTTCTTACTTTGGCTCCATTAGCGGTGTATGTGATGAGAAAAATGTTTCTTACTTTGGCTCCATTAGCGGTGTATGTGATGAGAAAAATGTGTTTCTTACTTTGGCTCCATTAGCGGTGTATGTGATGAGAAAAATGTGTTTCTTACTTTGGCTCCATTAGCGGTGTATGTGATGAGAAAAATGTGTTTCTTACTTTGGCTCCATTAGCGGTGTATGTGTTGAGAAAAATGTGTTTCTTACTTTGGCTCCATTAGCCGTGTATATGATGAGAAAAATGTGTAGTGTTGTATGTGATGAGAAAAATGTGTTTCTTACTTTGGCTCCATTAGCGGTGTATGTGATGAGAAAAATGTGTTTCTTACTTTGGCTCCATTAGCTGTGAATGTGATGAGAAAACTGAGTCGACCAGTGTCCAACTGCAGCTGCTGGTTGAAATAGTAAGAATAGTAAAAGAAAACTAATCCATGGCCTGCCGACTGGAAGGGGATGGAATCCAGTGATGTTAAATCTCCACCCATCATCGTATCAGTGATGATATATGAGCCTAGAATAATAAAAAGTACATATAATTTAGAAAATCACAATAAATGGGTTAGGCCTTAACAAATGTTTTCTTGATATAATACAATACACTTAGATACAGAGTAAAAACTTATCACCCAAAAGCTCAGAGAACAAGTGTAGGTCTACCACATTACATATTACATTAACCATTTTAAACTGATTTTTTTGAAAAAGTTAACAACTCTTTTCTCTAATAAAGTTTAATAAAATACTATGATAAATTTATACAAAATAATATTATGTAATGTACCAGAGATGAACAATAGCAATATATTTTCCTCCAATCAGCTATACAAGAAATTATATGAGAGTAACTTTTAACTAAAGATGAATAAATAGTTTTAAATCAGAAAATGAGTCCAGAATTTGAGCTAGAATTAAGCTGGTCGAATTAACCCCATCAGAAAATGTGCTTCATACCAATGGTTTCTGTATTTTCAAAAGTGTGATCAGAACTAATTAATCCTGTTTCAGCGTTTGATCTTTTCCAATGAAATTCATTGATGGAAGTGTTGACTGTATAACCACACATAAAGACATCCTCAAACTGACAGGATATTTTTCGTTTATCATCTGAAATAAGACATGCATAAAAGATATTTAAAAAGTGTATTTTAAATATAGAGCTGCAATATACTTTAACATGTAATAAGTCAAGAAATATCAACAGGGATTAAGGAATTAAAAAAAAATGTGCAAGCATCACTCATGAGAGTTGAAATGAATTAAGACATACCACAAACAGCACCTTCATCGCTACCATCTAGACAATGCTCAACTGTGTCACACATGTGAGATGATGGAATGCATTGTCCAGTTGAACATCTGAATTCTGATGAAGTACATTCTGAAAAAAAAAAAAAAGCAAGGTAACTGATTAAGGCCTTCTTGTAAAGTGAAAGTAATAATGTCTAACAATTTATCAGGAAAAGTAATATCTAACATTTTACCAGTCCTATAAAAAAATAAGCAACCAAAATTACATGTATGAAAACATACCACAAGAGATTTCATCATTTCCCTGTAGGCAGTCTACAACGCGGTCACATACTTTATTTTTTGGTAAACAATAGGCTTCTTCACGACATAGAAGATGGTTGTCTGGACACCCTAAAAACATAAATTTCTTGTTAAGTCTGGGTTTAGTTCAACTCAGATAACGATTTGTGTCAAACTTCAGTACTTTTATTTGGTCTCAACTCTCCACATTACAGAGTAGCCCTCGCCCTAACCGCTGTCAATTGTCCCCCTTACAATCATTCACTCCAGCTTTTATACCGCATTCGACTTTGGGATAACAATACATAAACACACCATAAACACACCGGGGTTAACTATACTCTAGGGTAAACTCAACTCACACAAGCACTCTTCCCTAGTTCTAGATTATTCTAACCTATTTCTATCTAACCTACAACTAACCTGTAACACTTCTAATATAGGCTTCATCAATAAAACAAACAATTTTTAGAAAATAAAATCCAGAATAAAACTGTACTTACTAAACATAGGGCATCGACCTTGGCTGATGGTGATGTCATCAAGCATAATTGCTTTTTCAATGGTCCCAGTGCCAAGGTCACCACCTACAGCTACATACAACAAGCGACCTCTTTCAGGCTGGGGTACACTAGGTATGGTAGCCTGGGTTGGGATCCAGTCCAAAGTTTGTCTGTTTGTGAACGTAAGCAAAGTCTGCTGTGTGTTATTCACTTCTATCAGCACCTATAGAAAATTGAGACATTTTTTAAGTTTGTTTTTTAAGGAAAATTTTACACTTTTAAAATGAATTTTAAAAAAAAATTCTTGTAGGAAAAGTTAGACTTCAGCTCTTACTTTTAAAGTCTGGCTTGAAGTTGATGCATAAAAGAACTGTAAACACAGAGGTAGTAAGCCTAACTGGATAGCCTGCGACATTACAACCACATCTTTATCTATCATGCCATGTGTTTTCAGCTTTAATAGATTGCCTGTTACAAAAAATGTTAGTTTTAACAAACAGATTTTTTAACAGATTTATACCTTACATTAAAAAGAATAGTACTATAATAAAATTATCACAATAATAAAGAAAAAAATTAAAGTTCCCCAAATTGATGATCAATAAAGCATGAGAAGTAGAGTTCATCAGTATCTTAAAGATATTCCACCATAATACAACAAAATAGCGATTATCATTACATAAATACACTTTCATGACACATAAGCTATAGTTTTTAAATTTTATGTTTCACAATTCGCCAAACCCTTTTCTATTTCAACCAAAATTACCCTTCTAGCTTTGTACTTATTTAAAGGTATTTTAGTAGGTTAAAATGTTAAAATTAACATCAAATGGCCAATGTCAAAGTTAAAAATCCATGTATCTCTCCTCATCTTGCAGACCAAACAAAATTTGGACACAATAACACAAACACAATTTGGCCACAGTAACACAAACAAAATTTGGACACAGTAACACAAACAAAATTTGGACATAGTAACAAACAAAATTTGGACACAGAAACACAAACAAAATTTGGACACAGTAACGCAAACAAAATTTGGCCACAGTAACACAAACAAAATTTGGACACAGTAACACAAACAAAATTTGGACACAGTAACACAGACAAAATTTGGACACAGTAACACAGACAAAATTTGGACACAGTAACACCAATTAAAATTTGGACACAGTAACGCAAACAAAATTTGGACACAGTAACACAAACAAAATTTGGACACAGTAACACAGACAAAATTTGGACACAGTAACACAAACAAAATGTGGACACAGTAACACAAGTTTTATTTAACTATGAATAAGCCATTACCAGAACTATTGTTAAATGTGTGATCCATTATATTGTTTGGAGTTCTGCTGGAGTTGACCATCTTCCACTCGGCAGCTCTAGAATCATTAGAGTGCTGCTCCAAGGCACAGATGTTGCCATTTTCAAAATCACAAGCATAGTATGGTTGGTCATCTAGATCTAGCAGTTCTAGAAGAAATGTAGAATTTGTCAGCAAATAATGGGTTTCATTTCATAATAAGAATATTGTTGAAATATTATTTTCTACTGCATTGCCAATATATTCAGGACTTAGACAAATTAAAAAAAAGATTCAATTAAACATATTCATTCTGACTTACCAATAGTTTCTTAACATATTAGTTAACAGTTTTTATCAACGAACTTTTAGAAATGTACTCACAAATTAAGCATAGAATACAAGAAAATAGAATACATAGAAATAGATGTAACATTACCTGTACAATTGACTTCATCTTCTCCATCATCACAGTCTATAACCAGATTGCAGAAGGATTCATTAGGAAGACAGTTTAGAACACCAGATGTAAAACACATAATCTCTCCAGCTAAACAATCTGCATGAGCAAACATAAAATTATCTGTTGGTTTGTGAAGTACTAATAATTTAGAAATAATTAAAACTCATAACAGATAACTCTAAACATTAAAACCAGTATTAGGATACTTTAAGTAATTAAATAATAACTGAAACACTATTTGAAGTTTACAAAAGTATTTTGTTGACAAAATATATCTATCAAAAAAATTTTTTTGAACAAATACCCATGTAATCACATTCTCCTGGCATGAACAGCACGTCATCAATAGCAAAACGTTCATTGTCATATACCCGGGTGTACATGGCGTATTCTCCTGCTGGCAAGTCAAAGATTCCCATCAGCCATCTGTCAGGACCATCTACAATCTGGAGATTAATAAAGTTAAAAATATGTAAATATTCTGGTGAAATAAGCCAGAGTTGTTTGAAGTACATACTTTTTACAATGCTGTCATCAATGCAAATCCATATCATCAAATGACTAGCTCAACATAACAGAATAGTTTGGTAAAAGCAGATTATTCTAAACTATATGTAAATCACTCATTAGATTCTGTGTAGATAACATGACAACATTACTGCCAAGGTTTCAAAATACAAAGCACTGCAGCGAAACTATCCTCAACAAGGATTTTAAAACTTTACCTTCTTTAGTTCCCAAACTTTTTCATACAGGTTGGATTTTAAATTTTTTATAGTGACAGAAATGCCATTTGGAGCATTTCCCCGTGCATGATAGAAGAATCGAACACAATGAGAAGAGTTGAGCTGGATATGAGGCGAGATAAGATCCAACTTTGTCTCACCCAGAAGTAACATGCCTTTGAAAAGAAGTTGTATAAAAATTAAATTGCATTTATAAATGACTAGGCTATAGGCCCTATTAATAAAAAAAATTTCCCACCAGAAATTTAATTTAATTACAGTAGAAAGTAAACATAACTTTACCTGGGTGTCTTCCTAGCGTGTGGTCAAACAATGGATAAAAGTTGATAGCTGTCTCAGGTGGATAGCTGAGCTTCCACTTGCTTTTGTAGCCACACATAAACTTATCATCAAATGTGCAGTTGATATTGATATCTTTAGAAATGGAAAAATAATCCAGATTTTCATCATGTGTTATTTAACATTTACTTAAACTTAAAGACAGATGCCGAAATAATGTGATTAACTTAACTTAAAGACAGATGCAGAGATAATGTGATTAACTTACTACAAAGTCGAATCTCATCGCTATTGTCGGCACAATCATTTACTGCATCACACAGCATATTTTTATCAAATAAACAGATGCCATCATCACACATAAACTGACAAACTGTGAATAAAATGAATTTCTTACTTTTCAAAAGATGAATTTTTTTATATTTGTTTATTATTATGTATTCATTTATATATTATTAGTGTACTTGTTGCACATTACTGCAACCTCAAATGGAAGGAAATTCAAATATTTTTTAAGATGGTTTTATCAACACAATAGCAATAAAGTATTTTTAACCATGTGACATTGTTTTCTTTAAATGTATTTATTTAAATGTAAACAATACTGGCACTATATTTCTTGGATTTTAGCTCTTTTTCATTCCTAATTTTAGTGTTGGAAGGGATCCCCTCCAATACAATTAAGTATACATGTCAACTGGTTATATATATATATAAAACACTTGAAAAGCAGATAAAATTTAGAGACATTGACTCACTAGTTTGGTTTTTTATCCAATCAACATACAGCTTGGTCTGAGAATAGACCATTGGCTTTGCTGCGACACTGCAAGTCGTGAAGACATAACTAGCGACACCTACAGTTTTCCAGGTGTTGGTGTCATCCTCACAGACAACTGAGCTGCCACTGTCACCCTGTCAAGGAAAAATTGAAGCGTGCTCATACAATTGTGACATTTTAATATTCTATGATTGTTTTCTTTTGTTTGACTCATTAGAAAATAATCATTAAATATGTGTTCTGATTAAATATGTTCTGGTTAAATATGTTCTGGTTAAATATGTGCATTGGTTATATATGTGCACTGGTTATATATGTGCACTGGTTAAATATGTGCACTGGTTAGATATGTGCACTGGTTAGATATGTGCACTGGTTAGATATGTGCACTGGTTAGATATGTGCACTGGTTAGATATGTGCAGTTTAAATATGTGTATTGGTTATATATATGTGCATTGGTTAAATATGTGCTTAGCTGACTTACTCTGCAGGCTGTAATCAACCCATTGTAGTACCCTGCGCAGCTCTCTGTTATGTGCATGCCACCATCCCACATGAAAGAGCTGTTACATTTTTTGGCATCCATTAAAGTCAACTTTGTTTCCTGCAGTACTTCTGGCACCAAATCTACAAAGGTTTTAACACAAATTCTATTACCTAGCCAATACAAGACCATTTAAAACAAAAACCAAGGGCGTTGGAAAAGACAGAAAATCATCTCAACTTCCACCATATTTTTCTGGTTACCTCTGACTCCAGATAAATGACCCCAGCCAGTTATGTAGCACCTGCTCCATCTTGCGAAGACATCATCAGCCTCAGGGAAGCAAATGGGCTTGACATAATCGTTGTAGACCAGAGGTTTTTTTAATTCAATCAGTGCAATGTCATTCCCTTTTAACATTTGATAGTCGGGGTGAATGATGGCACGCCGCACTTCACGGGTCACTTCTGTCGCAGATTTCTGTGAGCCATAGATTACTGTGGTACCAGCTACTACTGTGAAGGATGTGAACACTCTAAAAGACCTATAAAGAGATTTTTAAAGTTTGATTAAAATCGATTAAATTTTGTTCTTACATTTTATTTCCCCGTTTTTAAATATAAAAAAACTGTTTTGCATTACTACTCTACTGTTTATGCTAACATGCTGACAAAGAAACTGGGAAAATTATACAGCCATGTCTCATAAAGGGAAGGTACGCCTTGTGTCAAATGGGGATGGCAGGACTTTTGTCCTAGAGGGATAGTAGGACTTTTGTCTAGGGATGGTAGGACTTTTGTCTAGGGATGGTAGGACTTTTGTGTAGGGATGGTAGGACTTTTGTGTAGGGATGGTAGGACTTTTGTGTAGGGATGGTAGGACTTTTGTCCTAGAGGGATAGTAGGACTTTTGTCTAGGGATGGTAGGACTTTTGTGTAGGGATGGTAGGACTTTTGTCCTAGCGGGATAGTAGGACTTTTGTCTAGGGATAGGACTTTTGTGTAGGGATGGTAGGACTTTTGTCCTAGAGGGATAGTAGGACTTTTGTCTAGGGATGATAGGACTTTTGTCTAGGGATGATAGGACTTTTGTCTAGGGATGATAGGACTTTTGTCTAGGGATGGTAGGACTTTTGTCTAGGGATGGTAGGACTTTTGTGTAAGGATGGTAGGACTTTGGTCCAAGGGGTATGGTAACCTAACAACTAATTCTGATACACTGAGGGTAATAAATTCTCTGTTCATACTTTTTTCTAAATATTATTCTACGTAACATGGAAAAAATTTAAAAATGTTTATTAAGAATTTAATAAATATGCATCTTATGGTTAAACTATATTTACTAAGGATTTCTTTTATGCAAATTAAATTTATTCTTTGTTGTCTACAGTTCATATTAGAGAGTAAAAGTTACAATAAAAAAAACATACTCAACACAATGTGCTGCAGTTAAAATAAAATATGGATCGATGATTGCCCCTCCACAGTCGTGAGTGTTGTAATTTTTTATTGAAACCATCCATGGCCAGGCTCCTGGGCTAGCGTCAGTGCCACCTATTATGCTATTTTTTAGTGTCAGTGATGGACGTCCGCATTCTGATCAGAAGTAAAAGAAGTAAGCAAAAAATTCAGCTTACAAGTTGGATTTTTTTTTAAAACTCAATATTAGTTGTTTTTTTTGTTTTTTTTTTTAAAGAGACACATTTGTAAATTTAGATAGTGATTAGAGTATGTCCTCTTCATCTGCTAGAATCTTTGGTTTAGCCCATTTATATTTTATCAAAAAATTTTTTTTAAATACCTTTAGGTTTACAAGTAACAGCTACTACTTTTCCTGGACATGCATCTCTGAAAAAAAATCCACATTTAATTCATTATTTTGTAATATCAAAGCTCTATAATAGGGAAAGTTTGTATATAGGCTACTCATTCTGTGGTAGGTTGAATGTGTTGTTTCACTCTCCTTGTGGCTGGGATAGGGGCGGTGTGGCTGGGATAGGGGCGGTGTGGCTGGGATAAAGGCGGTGTGGCTGGGATAAAGGCGGTGTGGCTGGGGTATGGGTGGCCAGGATAGGGGCGGTGTGGCTGGGGTATGGGTGGCCAGGATAGGGGTGGTGTGGCTGGGATAGGGGCGGTGTGGCTGGGATAGGGGCGGTGTGGCTGGGATAAAGGCGGTGTGGCTGGGATAAAGGCGGTGTGGCTGGGGTATGGGTGGCCAGGATAGGGGTGGTGTGGCTGGGATAGGGGCGGTGTGGCTGGGATAAAGGCGGTGTGGCTGGGATAGGGGTGGTGTGGCTGGGATAGGGGCGGTGTGGCTGGGATAAAGGCGGTGTGGCTGGGGTATGGGTGGCCATGATAGGGGCGGTGTGGCTGGGATAGGGGCGGTGTGGCTGGGATAGGGGCGGTGTGGCTGGGATAGGGGCGGTGTGGCTGGGATAGGGGCGGTGTGGCTGGGATAGGGGCGGTGTGGCTGGGATAAAGGCGGTGTGGCTGGGGTATGGATGGCCAGGATAGGGGCGATGTGGCTGGGGTATGGGTGGCCAGGATAGGGGTGGTGTGGCTTGGATAGGACGGTGTGGTCAGATGCTAACCCAGAAGGCTTGAGTTTGGATTCCAGGTATGATGTCCCACCAGTGCTGACCAGTGCTATCCCATCTTAAGATCACTGAAGCTGGTCAACTTCCCCCATAGAAAATCAGCTTTGAAAGGGAACTGGACTTTCTTTTTGGGATAGTTTGCATCGTGTAAAACTGCATGCAAAGTAGACGGTAGCTATAATATTTGTTCTTAGAATATATATCTAATTGCCGTCGGTATCTGTTACACATGAATTATAGGCCTATATATTTTTAATGTTATACATGTTTGAGAAAAATATTTTATAAAATATATAATATTTTTTTATAATATTATAATATATAATATATATATATATTATATAAAATATATAATATTTTATTATAATATTATAATAATATAATATATTATAATATATATAATATATATATTAAATATATATATATATATATTATAATATATAATATAATATTATAATCTATATATAATTCTCTTCTGGGAGACGCTAGAAAACAAATTGTAAACGTGCTCCCTACCACCCCCACCCCTACATGGTCTTTGTGAGCTGTGTTCACTCTAAATGTTTACAAGCAGAGCCGGGTTTAGTGACGACTATTAGGGGCAGATAATTTAGTTTGAAACAATTTTAAACGTTGGGGGGGGGGGGGGGGGGGGGGGTTATGGTCCTTAACGTGCTACTTATAGTGTTTTAAAGAAATATTTTCAGTGGCAGCGTTGGTACCGTCGAATTCACAAATTATGAATGACTGAAAAGTAGAAAAAACAACTAAATAGCGGCGTATGTTATGCCGCGGGCCGGCTCGTATATAATATTTTATTGGTCAAAAAGCAAAGAAAAAACTAAATAACTAAAAATCCGACACATTTAAAATAACATAGGCTACCAATACTTATTAAATTAAAAATTCTTGTTTTTTAAAAGTAATTTGTATTAGTTTAGGCCAAGAAAATTGTATACATTTCATAAAGTACATCTTGATAAGTAAAATTATAGATCTAAATTTTAATGAAATAGTTCATTTCTTTATATTCTAAAATTGGAAGATGAAGTGACGTCATTGTTTTTTGTGTTCTTGTCACAAGATTACCGGTTGCATAATTAAAATGTGTTTTTACATTTGAATATGCCTTTATTTTTATTTTCCTTCTTTAATAAAATTTAAGTTTATACATTTAAAACATCCACCGTATTATTTTCAACAAAAGTTCGTATCTTTAAGTTCTCCATATATTGCTGAAGATACTGATCTCTTAGTCTTGGGACATGCGGACAGAGAGAGAGAGAGAGAGATGTGTGCACATTCGCTTATGTATATTAGGATGACATGTTATCCAAATCATTTGTACATCATTGCATTTATTTAATCAAGTACAGCGCTAATGTGGACATTGCTATGTGATCCAATATTTCATGACCAAAACAATCATACCAGAAATTAGAGTGAACTGATTGTTATCTTTCAATTCATAAAATCAAGCTAAACTTGACTTACACAAATGTTCCTCTACCCAAAGCAGATACAGTATTTCCGTCAGCTTGAAGCAAGAATAATTGCTGAAATGTTGGATCTTTTGATTCCCAGTATAGAACAGAACTAAAAGAAGAACAATAATTATATAAGACTTTTGTATTGGACATTTGTTTATAAAAATACATATATAATAAAAATTAAACTTTTCTTTCCATAACACATAAATTATATAGACCAATGCTTTTACTATGATTAGTAAAAAAAAAGATAATTTCTATAATAGATTGACGACAGAAGCCTGTGGTTGTATATAACACATTTATTGGGTCTAACTACATCATGATGGTAAACACAGAGAGAACGGAAGGAAGTACACAAGGGACATCACTCAAGATAACAATATTATAAATATAACTAATACAGAAGAGTGAGTTCCCTTGACCTCACAATTATTTCAATCTATTACATCCCTTTACCCTTAGAACACAATAACACATCTCTCAATAGAACAATTGATAGTATCCTAAAATCACCAATTATATTGTAACATGAACACTATGGTAGATTACATCCTTACAAACAATGCACAATATGCTACAACATAATCAAAATACAAAACAATAATGTCAAAGTCCTTTTGACCTTTAGAATCATAGGTCTAACTTATTTGGGACTTTGATTGTCCTGCTTGACCTTCTCAGTGGCTTTTGATTTGGTGACTCAAGATTCTGACCATCTGGATTCTCTATCTCAGGAGGTCTAGGATTTAAATCATTAACTCCAGAATTTACATTTTCTGACTCCAGACAACTTGGTTCACTCATATCAACAGAACTTGGTTGTGGAACAAACTGAGTTGGTGTGAACTGATCAGATTTGGTGGGATTGACAGATTCACACTTATTATCTGCACAAGTTATTTTTAACTTTATAAGGCACAGGTCCTGTACATTGAACAATTTGACCTGGTATCCATTTTTCCTTTCTCCCATAATTTCTTAGATGCACATTATCATTAACTGCAAATTCTCTTTCAATGGATGATTTGTCATGATTTAATGGAACTATTTTTGAATTGGCATCTGGAAGTATTATGCTGTTATTCAGATCCTTAATTGACATAGATTTCTTTGATTGATCAATTTTCTCAGGTAATCTGATAGTGCTTTCCTGGTAACCAAAAATACTGTTTAAAAGTAATATCCTGGACAATATCACTTTACAACTGTGATCCAGTATTTGAAGTGGGTGTATTAAATGGCAAAAATCTTTTTCTTCTTTTGATGTTACCCTTTTAGTTTCTGTAAGTGCTAATGATGTTAGCAAAGTTGTTTGATGATCACATTCCTTCTTACTAATGTATTTGAAATTGCCATATCACCATAATCATTTATTAAGTTACAAATACTTTGTTTAGGTAATTCTGACTGATAATGGACTGCATCTTCTCCATCTTTTATATTATCTTCACAAAGGTTTTTATTTCTTATTTAATATGGCTTTAAGTCATCATTCACAGACTCTTCAGGCCAACCATTCTTACAGTAATCATATACTTTTATTAAGCACTCATCTTTTTGTGTTTCTCTTTTAATATCATTCACATTTATATTGGAGTTATCCATGATAGTGAAGAGAACAAATACATCTTCTGGTACATAGCTCAGGCTTTGGTTTTTTAAAGGTAATCTACTAAGGCTATCTGCACTATTCTCAGATCCAGGTTTGTATCTCAATTCATAATTGTATGCAGTTAGTGTGATAGCCCATCTTTGAATTCTTGGTGAGGCATGCTCAGGTAGGGTTTTGTTTTCTCCAAATAAACCTAGCAATGGTTTATGATCTGTAAAGATGGTGAACTTCCTACCAAACAGAAACTTATGAAATTTCTTAACACCAAAAATGATGCCTAAGCCTTCCCTATCTAACTGAGAATAATTTTTCTCAGCCTGGTTCAAAGATCTACTGGCAAAAGCAATGGGTCTGTCACCCTTCTCATCCATGTGGGACAAGACTGCTCCTACACCATCTGGTGAAGCATCACATGTTAATATAAGTCTTTTCCCTGGGTCATAGTGAGTTAGTAAGGTGTCAGTAGACAAAGCCTCTTTTGCTGTATTAAAAGCAGCTTCTTGTTGTTTACCCCAGTGCCAAGTTGCATTTTTCTGTAGCAGCTTGTACAGTGGTGATAGTTTACCAGACAGATTTCCCATGAACCTTGCATAATAATTTATCAAGCCCAAAAAAGCTCTTAGTTGTTGGGTATTTTCAGGTTTGGGTGCTTCTTTAATGGCTTTTGTTTTCTCAGGTTGAGGTCTGATACCTTGCTTGCTTAATATATAACCAAGAAAACTAATTTCTGTCAGCATGAATTGACATTTATCTTTGTTTATCTTTAAACCTTTTTCACCAACAATTTTCAATACTTTATCAAGTGTTTTAAGATGTTCAGTGTCATTCTTACCAGTTATGTACACATTGTCAAAGTACACACAAACATTTGGAATATCCTTAAAAATACTGTCCATGACAGCTTGGAAAATTCCAGGGCTAGATGATATGCCAAAACATAGTATTTCATATTGGTAGAGTCCTTTATGTGTGTTTATTGTCGTATAGACTTTTGAATCTGGATGCAGTTCTAGTTGAGTGTAAGCATGACTAAAGTCTAATTCAGTGAATTTGTCTCCTCCTGCCAAATTCAAAGAAATTTCCTCAATGTTAGGTATAGGGTACCTATTTAGCTCTATTTGCTTATTCAGTGTAGTTTTATAATCTCCACAAATTCTTATAGAACCATCCTTCTTTAACACTGGCACAATGGGTGTCGCCCAATCGGAATAGTCTACCTTCTTTATAATGCCATTAGATTCCAATCTACTTAGCTCATTTTCAATTTTATTCCTCATTGCATAAGGTGGAACTCTAGCTTTGCAGTATCTTGGATTTGTATCTTTAATGCTTAACTTCACTGTTCTATCATTTAGTAATCCAGAGTTACCAAAAACACATTTATTTTCAGATATAACTTTATCTAGTGAAGTAAGACTAGATTCTTTTACATTCTTCAATGAACAAATACTCTCCCAATTTAACTTAAGATCACTTAACCAGTTCCTACCTAGTAATGGCGGTCCATTTCCTTCAACCACAAGAAGAGGAAGTTTAACACTTTGACCATTATAACTTACATGAACCATACACTCTCCTATTACCGGAACATTGTCACCAGTGTATGTTGTTAGACACTTGTGACATGGCTGTAGAGGCACTGATCCTCCTGTGACAGCGTCAAAATCTTTCTTTGTTATGACTGTTAGAGATGCTCCAGTGTCAAGTTGGAAGCTGATGCTCTTACCGTTGATATTAACTGGTACATTGATGGGAGCATGACTTATTGATTTCACAGAGAACAGGCTGAAATCCGGCTGCGAATCAGTTTGAGCATTTTCACAGGTAGAGTGGTTCATTGGTTGGGTTAGGTAGTCTTGGTGAGAGTTAACATAGTGCTGCCTTTGGTTGCGGTACTGTCTTGACTGGCTAGATTTAGCAACAGACGAAGACTTTGCAAAGCAGGCCTTGGCAATGTGACCTTGCTTACCGCACTTATAACAAGTTGCTAACTTGAACTTGCACCGATGAGATGCATGGGGACCTTTGCATCGATGACATTTTTGATAATTATTACTAGATTTAGATCTAGGATTTGAACGAGCAGGCTGTTTAGCATAAGTTGGAATGCTCTGATGGGGTTGATGTTTATTGACTAACCTGCTGTTTACTGCATGGATCTCTGAAGGTGCTAGAGATTTTGCCACATCTGATGACTGCTGGAATGAAGTTGCAAGTTGTATTGCTTTTTCTAATGTTAGATCTGACTCGAGAAGCAACTTTCTTTGAATATCAGGGCTGTTTACACCTGTCACAAACTTTTCACATAGTCTGTCAGACAGCGTTTCTCCAAATTCACAGAATCTACTTAAATGACGTAAAGCAGCAACGTATTCTGATATTGACTCGTTTGGTTGACGAGTCCTACTGTCAAATCTAGCTCGACATAGAAACTTTGATGGGGTAGGCGCATGGTGGTCTGTTAGCAATTTGCTCAGCTCGTTAAAGCTCTTGGTATCTGGACTAGCTGGTGCACATAAGTCCTTTAGTAGCCTAAATTGTTGAGGCCCTATGACTGTTAACAAAACAGCTCTCTTTTTGGCTTCTATCGTCACGTCGTTTGCTTCTAGGTAAAAGCTTAACCTCTCTAGGTAATCTTGAATGATTTCATCATTCGCATCAAATTGATTTATTTGGCCATACAGCGCCATTATTCTAGAAATAATTAGCTAATAAGCTCTAGCAAACCTCTTTTTTGCGTAAGTAGGTGCTCTTTCTAGTAGATGTTTATCCTTCGTCGCCAGTTATAATAGATTGACGACAGAAGCCTGTGGTTGTATATAACACATTTATTGGGTCTAACTACATCATGATGGTAAACACAGAGAGAACGGAAGGAAGTACACAAGGGACATCACTCAAGATAACAATATTATAAATATAACTAATACAGAAGAGTGAGTTCCCTTGACCTCACAATTATTTCAATCTATTACAATTTCATTTTATATTATTTTTAGTGCATTAACAAAAATGATGATAAAAGTTCTATATGCCTATATTTAAAAAAAATATTCCTACTTTCTTGTATGAAAGATTTAAAAACTGTAAAAAAGTAGACCTATATCTTAGTTTATGAATGCAATTAACTTTTTTCTCTTAAAACTAATACTTGTTTAAGTCTTTATGTTACTTTTGACACAGAAAAACTTCTTGAATACTTAGAAACAATGGAAGAACTTACCCTTCTCCTATCCGAGCACAGTAAATATTTGCATGCTGGTTGGTAAAACCTGTGTCACAGACTTGATGCAGCTCTTCATTCAACACCACAGAGAAAGGGTTGTCTTTTATAACTGTCAATATTTAGTGTAAGGTATTAGTGATTCATTCAACACCACAGAGAAAGGGTTGTCTTTTATAACTGTCAATATTTAGTGTAAGGTATTAGTGATTCATTCAACACCACAGAGAAAGGGTTGTCTTTTATAACTGTCAATATTTAGTGTAAGGTATTAGTGATTCATTCAACACCACAGAGAAAGGGTTGTCTTTTATAACTGTCAATATTTAGTGTAAGGTATTAGTGATTCATTCAACACCACAGAGAAAGGGTTGTCTTTTATAACTGTCAATATTTAGTGTAAGGTATTAGTGATTCATTCAACACCACAGAGAAAGGGTTGTCTTTTATAACTGTCAATATTTAGTGTAAGGTATTAGTGATTCATTCAACACCACAGAGAAAGGGTTGTCTTTTATAACTGTCAATATTTAGTGTAAGGTATTAGTGATTCATTCAACACCACAGAGAAAGGGTTGTCTTTTATAACTGTCAATATTTAGTGTAAGGTATTAGTGATTCATTCAACACCACAGAGAAAGGGTTGTCTTTTATAACTGTCAATATTTAGTGTAAGGTATTAGTGATTCATTCAACACCACAGAGAAAGGGTTGTCTTTTATAACTGTCAATATTTAGTGTAAGGTATTAGTGATTCATTCAACACCACAGAGAAAGGGTTGTCTTTTATAACTGTCAATATTTAGTGTAAGGTATTAGTGATTCATTCAACACCACAGAGAAAGGGTTGTCTTTTATAACTGTCAATATTTAGTGTAAGGTATTAGTGATTCATTCAACACCACAGAGAAAGGGTTGTCTTTTATAACTGTCAATATTTAGTGTAAGGTATTAGTGATTCATTCAACACCACAGAGAAAGGGTTGTCTTTTATAACTGTCAATATTTAGTGTAAGGTATTAGTGATTCATTCAACACCACAGAGAAAGGGTTGTCTTTTATAACTGTCAATATTTAGTGTAAGGTATTAGTGATTCATTCAACACCACAGAGAAAGGGTTGTCTTTTATAACTGTCAATATTTAGTGTAAGGTATTAGTGATTCATTCAACACCACAGAGAAAGGGTTGTCTTTTATAACTGTCAATATTTAGCGTAAGGTATTAGTGATTCATTCAACACCACAGAGAAAGGGTTATCTTTTATTACTGTCAATATTTAGTGTAAGGTATTAGTGATTCATTCAACACCACAGAGAAAGGGTTGTCTTTTATAACTGTCAATATTTAGTGGAAGTGATCTGTATCTTCTTGTACAACATTTATTTTACATTTGTGACTCTGTTGTGTAGCACTCTAAAAACTATTTAGAAATTTAATTGTTTGAATTCTTAAAATACTACATTTAAAAAAATTTAACACATATTTTGAGTCCAAGGCTACTGGCAAGATGAGATTTTTATGTTTGTTTCAACAATGATAAAAGTGGAAAAAACTGTTCCAAATTATCAGAACCCCTTAACATGTCTACAAGACTATAGTAATATGATGTGTGTAATATGATCCCTTATGCAGGATGTGCAATTAACGGATGCCAAGTGCTAACATAGTCACCCTAGAAATCTTGGCGCCAAACCGTGTATTGACAAATATTGCACCCTCCTGGGCGCCGTCAATAAATATTTTTTTCCGCAGAAAGCTTTCCGGGAGTATTCTCATCTACTCCCTAAAGTTTCATGGTACTCAGATGACGGCGTCAAACCACATCATACTTTTATTTTTTTTATATACCGCATATAGAAAAAAATCACGCCGCCCTTGCGAAATTAAAAAGAATTTTTTTGCAGAAACTTTCTCTGGAGTGTTTTAAGCAACTACCCAAAGTTTCATGGCGATCGGATGAATAGTGTCAAACAGAAATCGACATGTATTTTTATATATCTTATATAGAGAAGAATTAAGATACCTCCCCAGGAGTATTTTCTACATCTTCCCAAAGTTTCATGGCAATCAGATGAAAGGTGTAGTAATGCATACAAGACACACATTGCTGTTTACATACATAGATTATATATAATGTACCCAAATAATGAATTTGTTTAAAAGACCATTGATTTCAAAAGACAACTTACAGCAGTCTATTTCATCAAAGTGGTCCTCACACTGCATTATTCCGTCACATCTTTGTTCAGCAGGAATACATTTCTTGTTACGACATTCAACTTGAGGGTATGAACATTGACCTAAAACAGGAATACATTTCTTGTTACGACATTCAACTTGAGAGTATGAACATTGACCTAAAACAGGAATACATTTCTTGTTACGACATTCAACTTGAGGGTATGAACATTGACCTAAAACAGGAATACATTTCTTGTTACGACATTCAACTTGAGGGTATGAACATTGACCTAAAACAGGAATACATTTCTTGTTACGACATTCAACTTGAGGGTATGAACATTGACCTAAAACAGGAATACATTTCTTGTTACGACATTCAACTTGAGGGTATGAACATTGACCTAAAACAGGAATACATTTCTTGTTACGACATTCAACTTGAGGGTATGAACATTGACCTAAAACAGGAATACATTTCTTGTTACGACATTCAACTTGAGGGTATGAACATTGACCTAAAACAGGAATACATTTCTTGTTACGACATTCAACTTGAGGGTATGAACATTGACCTAAAACAGGAATACATTTCTTGTTACGACATTCAACTTGAGGGTATGAACATTGACCTAAAACAGGAATACATTTCTTGTTACGACATTCAACTTGAGGGTATGAACATTGACCTAAAACAGGAATACATTTCTTGTTACGACATTCAACTTGAGGGTATGAACATTGACCTAAAACAGGAATACATTTCTTGTTACGACATTCAACTTGAGGGTATGAACATTGACCTAAAACAGGAATACATTTCTTGTTACGACATTCAACTTGAGGGTATGAACATTGACCTAAAACAGGAATACATTTCTTGTTACGACATTCAACTTGAGGGTATGAACATTGACCTAAAACAGGAATACATTTCTTGTTACGACATTCAACTTGAGGGTATGAACATTGACCTAAAACAGGAATACATTTCTTGTTACGACATTCAACTTGAGGGTATGAACATTGACCTAAAACCAAAAATTTGCAACTTCATATTCATGTATGGAATTAAGCTTGGGTCTAGGACATTACCTTCTGATCAATAACCCCCAGTTGTGACCCTCCAGGTGTGACCCCCCAGGTGTGACCCCCCCAGGTGTGACCCCCCAAGTGAACTACTCTTTCCTTAAAAATACCTTAAACATGAAATGGGTAAAGTTAGAAAAATGGCACTTTATAAAATGCCAGGGCACTCTACAGAATGTCTGCAATGGGCTGACAGAGTGAAAAATAAATCTGATTTCATATTGTCCCTAAACATTCTGTAGAACACAAAACAGGAAAAAAATGGCAGTTTGATATAAGCTAATTCCATACACAATATCTACAAACTTAAACCTATCCCTAAACCTATTCCTATTAGGTTTAGGGTCACTTATTAATTGACAGAGGGGTAAAGTCCTACTGCAGTTCTCTGGGCTGGGGAAGGAGAGGGGGTAATTGACAGATGGGGAAATGTCCTGCTTTCATTGTGTTTTTATCATTTAAAAAATATTAGAAAAACAACTGTGTATGTTTTCTATAGTTTCATCCCACATTTTGAATTTGAACTTACTACAGTTGGATTCATCTTCCCAATTTGCACAATCTTGGAAACCATCACACAGCCATTCTGGCATAATGCATTTACCATCAGCACACTTGTACATGTTCATTTTACAAGCTGAAAAATTAAGATTTGCAAATGATTAAAATTATTCTAAAATTTAAAGAGATTAAAATAAAAAAAATATAAAGTAACTAGTGTACAGTGCTGCAATCTCAGAAGAAAGGCTGATGCTATATTGTTACCAATCTTGTATTTTTACGTGCCTCAAGTTTTAAAAAATGGAGTTATTTAAATGTAAATAATGCTGATGCTATATTTTTTGGATCATAATTATTTGGGCCAGTTTGTCCAAACTAACGCTCAGACACCCCAAGGTGTATGATGGCCTTAAGTGTCTGTTAATAAACACTGCCCAAGTGTCAGGGGCATGGCATGAAGCTCTTGAGAGCCACCAGATACACTACTGTAGTGTGCCACCATGTCAGTAGTGTCCCTGGTCTATGGCATTCTTTAAAACAGATGTAGGGGCCATTGTGGTCATGGGGGAGAACTGGGTACATGACTGCCAAGGGGCTGGCAGATGTGCCTGGTGCAGTCTGTCCGTTAAATCAAGGAGTACCCCTGACTCACTGTGCAGGACACCCAATCAATAGATCCCAGGTGCAAAGATAGATTTTGGAGAAATCACCAAATGATACTCTACCTAAGTTCTAAAATATTTTTTTTTATCACAGAAACCTCACCATGAGTATTCTCAACAACTTCCCAAAGTTTCATGGCAAACATATGGAAATTGTAGTGACAAATAAACTCACAGACTAACAGAAATATTTTCATTTTTATATATAGAAAAAACTGTTTTTTAATAAAAAAGTTTTTCATACATAAAAACTATATTTCTATGTCAGGTATTTGTATCTCAATTATTTTTCTAACACCTAGAATGTAGCCAGTTAACTCACAAGTGCAATTAAACTCATCAGTGTTGTCAGGACAATCAAACTGGCCGTCACATCTTTTGTAACTTGGAATACACATGCCCATTTTACACTGGAACTGGAACTCTCTGTCACACACTGAAAGCAATGAACAAATATTTATTGATTTTACATTTAACAACGCAAGAATATGATCAAATATTCATTAATTTTACATTTAACAACGCAAGAATATGATCAAATATTCATTAATTTTACATTTAACAACGCAAGAATATGATCAAATATTCATTAATTTTACATTTAACAATGCAAGAATATGATCAAATATTCATTAATTTTACATTTAACAACGCAAGAATATGATCAAATATTCATTAATTTTACATTTAACAACGCAAGAATATGATCAAATATTCATTAATTTTACATTTAACAACGCAAGAATATGATCAAATATTCATTAATTTTACATTTAACAATGCAAGAATATGATCAAATATTCATTAATTTTACATTTAACAACGCAAGAATATTGTGAAGCACACCACACACAACATCTAGGTGCAGCATGCTTGTTATATATATATTTTTATATTTCATGAGATTTTGAAGTTATGAATTAATACACGTTTTGTTGAAAAAGTATTTAAAGTTACTATATTAAGACAAATAATCCTACATTACGCAAGGATAGCAATATTAGGGATATAATCTGATATAATAAATAGGTAATGGTTATGACTTAGGTTAGGGTTTGATTACCCTAAGCCAACTCTAACCTCTTTAAAAATAAGTTTAGCTAAAATATAGAGTTAATACAAATAAAGGCCACATTCACAACACTTGAAAAAAGCTAGAGTCTGATATTTGCCAAGGGTATGTTGTGTTGAATGTTTGGTTTTACAACAATCAAAAGGTGAAAAGTGTACCTACCACAGTTCTGTTCATCTGACCAATCCCCGCAGTCATTGTTTTGGTTACACACTAAAGACTTTTGGATACATTTGTTTAAGCTTTTACACTTGAACTCAGTATTTGCACAGTCTAAAATAAAAACAACCAGCACTTCTTAAAGGAGAGACACTTATCAAGTGATAATATTTTAAATGCTTAACAGATTTATTTTTTTTGCGAAAAATGAAAAAGAAAATTATGCATAGCATGCCCAATGCTTTTATGTGGTACTATAAATATCATATGTGAACTTTAAATACCATAGAAAAGGATTCAAACAGAATGCATAACATAAGAATGGAATTTAAAAAAGGAAAAAAACAGGGGATTTGAAGAAAAAAAAACATCTGTTTATTTTTCTAGATGTGGTATTCATATTTAAAAAAAAAAATAATCTCGATCTTTTGTCTAAAATGGATCATAACTTACATGATGCCATGGTTGCATTTATTTTTAAAACAAAATTTAGTGTAATGAGATCAAGTGGAAAAGAAATAAATTTGATTACCCCAAAAACAATAGCTGTATAAAAAGTATTGATAATTAGCTCTTCAAAAATTGAAAAATTAACAGGTAAAAAAAAATCTAAGAAATTTCAGAGAAGCTAAACTCAGCATAGAAAAATCAGGTTTAATGTGCTTTTGTTTTTGTTCTGTAAAACACAACAGACTTTAGACATTATTTACTTTTATTGGGGTGAATGTAAAATTAGGATTGTTGAAAAGATAACTTGAAATAATAGAATGTTTTGTAACCTGTTGGAGGAAGTGGATTCAAGCAATCTTCATCTGAGAAAATGCCACAATTCTGTGGGAAGAGCACGCTAGAGCAGTTCCTGTTCATCTCTGCAACAAACACATTTTTTGTGTGTGTTTGAGAAGGATTTCTCGACTTATTTCATTTTTATAAGAATATGGCAAAGTAAGAGCCATTTTATTTTAATAGGTTTCTGATTTATTATTTCTACAAACAAAAGATTTTTCCATTTATATTTAAGATATTCAGTTAAACTGTGCTGACTTATTTTTTAAATTTTAAAATGAAACCACTTTTTTGGAACATATGTAAGACTAACTAGATCTAGAGGCTATCCATATTTACTTAAATTGGGACACAAATCATCCTAAATCGGCTTCATTCTAATATTTTCTCTTAAATAGGAAAATGAGTTTATTTAACACTCAACTGTATTTTGGACTCAGAATATTTATACTCCAAGTTACAGTTAAAGCTGACGAAATTAAAGTATAACCTTTTTATTTTTGTTGTAGCAAGAAAACATGATATATGGATAGCCCTAGTGAAACATGTTATGTAGGAAAGTAACATACCCTGACAGAAGGAATAACATGGCAATTTTCTGATACCATCTTTTTCACAAAAAGGGAAGATCATGTGACAAATATAGAAGAGTGCGCTAGAAGAGCAGCCAGATGAAACAGCCACTTCACCAATTTTGTAATAAGATTGGATGGCGTCCTCGACAGTTTTGTCAGACCAGATGTTTGGGAAGGAGGTGAAGTTATAGCCAATCTCGTTACATATGGAGAAGTTAAGGGGCTGGCAGGCTGGAAATAAGTAGGGTGCTGTTCAGTTGGCATCTTAACAAATGTAAGACTGTTCAGTTGGCATTTTTACAAGTGTAAGACTTCATTTGGCATTTTAACAAGAATAAGACTGTTCATTGGGCATTTTAACAAGTATGGGACTGTTCATTTGGCATTTTAACAAGAATAAGACTGTTCATTTGGCATTTTCACATATATAAGATTGTTTATTTGGCATTTTAACAAGTATAGAGGCTACAAATAGTTTTTAATAAGAAAAAGCTATAATGTATCTTTTTATAAGTATAAGGCAATACTGTGGCATACTTTAAAAGAAGACTTTTCTTCTTATTTTTATGCTTTGATAGGTCTCTTGCATGTGACTTAGCTGGGATGGGAAAGTAAAATGGCGTGGAACACTTGGAATATATAAGGGAAAGGGCAGAGAGAAAAAATAGTTCCCTTTACATTCAGTTTAAAGGAAACCTTTTGTGCAAGAAAATTTTCAATTGACTTAAAATAATGCAAAAGCTTAAATGGAGAAGAAAGTGTGTTTTTTAAAGCAAGCTTAATTTATTCTTAAGCTCATGCACAGATTTTTTATACAGTTTTTGTGTACTATATATCAAAGTAATTTTTTAAAGTATGTTGCATTTAATAAAAGTTTCACTTGTATATGTTTGATTTCAAAATAATGTATATGTACTAGTGTTTTAAAATACATTGTGCTTTATGTTCTATTAGTAAATAGTTTATGTAGAGGATATTGGGTATTGCAGTAAAGTCTTACATGTATAAGTAAGTCTATTTAAAAATATTTTATTTTACCACAGTATAAGCTAATTGTGTTTCATTTAAGTAATTACATTTTAGGTTAAAAGGCCCTCAACTAAAGGAAGAAATGAGGTACTGGAATGTTGTCTTTTTAGTTTTAAGAAAGGCATCAAACAAACTTGATGTGTGCTTTAGCTGTGGATTAAATTTAATTAAAAGGACCATAAATGGGTTCATCCAGAAATGACATCACACAACTAGGCCAGGGGGGAGGGGGAGGAGGGGAGATGTATTTATGATGGAGAGGGGTTAAAATGCTAACATTGTATGAGGTTTTTTATGGATATTTGATTGGCAATGATATCAGACTCCGCAATTTTCATTTTGTCATATTCTGCTCTGTTACAACATTTACACATTTTAAAATTTAAATTGCAGTTTTTGAACTGATAGAAAATTATGAGCAGAACTTATTTAGGATGGTAACTTACATTGTGCAGTTGGGGTGACTCCCTTTGTAGTAGGTTCTGTAGCCCCAGCTTGTGTGGTTGGAGCACTGGTGGTGGCTGGGGGGCTCAAGCAATCATTTTCCGGCAACTTTTCACAATCCAAATGAAGTAGGTAGGGGCAGAATGAATTTAATTCTGATAATAAGAAAAAAAATGATACAGGTTTTAAAGTTGACATAATTTTTGACAATGCCTTATATATTAGCATTACATTTATTCTTTAAATGTATTGTTTAAAAGCTATCAATAAAAGAGTGAGTTATGCTGACCTTCACAATATTTTTTACACGGATATTGAAGCTTATATCCTTGCTCGCATTTTGGAAAAAAACTTCCACACAAGAAAAACTTTGACTGGCTATAACAATCTGAATAAAGTGTTTGATTCGTATAAGTTTCAAACATCATTATTGCTTCAGCAATTGAGTTTGTGAATAAAGTCCTCTCAGAAGTTACATTAAAACCTTCATCTGCGCAAAATCTGTAGTTCAGAGTCACACAGGCCTCTGAAACATGTGCAAATAAGATTAGAATTTTGTTGATAAATAAGAAAGCATTTTAAAAATCATGTTTACAGTAAAAAATGGTAAATCATGGTCAGGGATGTTTCAAATGTATTTCCTTCTATTAAATATTTGTAACATTTTAAAATTTACCTAAAGGTGGGATTTCTGTTGTACTGGGCGTAGTTGTGACCTCATACTTAGGTGGAATGCATTGTGGGTATGATTTGTTGTAACCAATAAAATCTGCACAGTTATAAGAATATGGCATATACTCTCCACATTTGGCAACAGCATCTGAAATCCATTTATTAAAAATTAATATTGAAGAAAAAAATGAACAATTGTCAAAGTGCGGTTCTTTGATTTACTAACAGTGTTCCTAGGTTACTGTTGGTCTTAAACTGCTGTTTGATTTCAGAAATGTTTTATTGGTCTTAGAATTTGAAAAAACGAGTTTAACCTTCACAGGTCTCTGAACAGGGAAGATATTCACCAATGATGTCTTCATCACATTGCGGGAAATATATGCCACAGAAAAATGAAAGATCTTTAGTACAATTTTCCACCAGACTTCTTTGAGAAAATGACAAAAACTCCTGTGGAAGTAAGATTTATAAGTTAATATATTAAAAATGGACAATCAGATTGAAAAAGGTACTTCATTTTTTTTAAATACATTGTTTTATATTAGAAATATATTGAAACTTTATTTTAAGACAAAAAAAGTAGGTGGCAATATTTAATACAACTAAATAAGAAAGGTTTTTTGTGATTAATACTTTACGATTAGAAAATTCACGGAAACTAAAAATAATAATTCAATGTTTATACTATTACCTTTATCAAACATTCTATATCATCACAAAAATCAGTTTTAGGCATATAGGTTCTTGTGAAGCCAAAATCATTACACAAAGGAAAGTCAAACTGTATACAGCTGGCTGCATAAAGCAAAACATACATTTTGGATTACATCAAGAAGAAACAATCAAGAAGTAACAATCACATTTCTAACATATATATATATATATATATATATATATATATATATATATATATATATATATATATATATATATATATATATATATATATATATATATATATATATATAACAATATAACTAAATATTTCTTGAATATATTTCATAATTTTCTGAGTTCCATTAAACTCAATCAGATACATAGTTTTTCAGATACTTGGCTTGTAATGGAAAATACTAGAATGAAGCTTTTTAAAATATTAGGATTCCACATATGTTTGGATTAAAAAGAAAACAGGATTATTTTAGAAAGCAATCTAACAGAAGGTAATTTATCAAGTGGATTAGGTTTATTCAAAGAAACACGGACCATTTAATTACACGAGATATTTTCAAAAGAAAGGAAAAACTAATTTAAAACAATTATATATTAAATAAAGGAAGCTACTTACATAGTTCCATTGTTGTAGAGATGGGGGTTGTTGAAGTTGATGATGTTGTAGTTGATGTTGTTGTAGTTGATGTTGAAGTTGTAGTTGATGTTGAGGTTGATGTAGTTGTGGACGTAGGTGTAGAACTTAAAGTTGAAGTTGTGGTTGCTGGTGTTGTTGATGTAGTTGTTGATGTTGTTGATGTAGTTGTTGATGGTGTTGATGTGAAGCTGGGTGAAGCTAAACAGTCTGTACGAGGGTACTGATCACACACAAGAGGCCACCCAGCCAAATCTCCACACTCGTCTTTCACAACTGTAGAACAGATACAAACTTTGGATACAAAAACCTGTGGTGATTATCCCTGGGACTTAATGACTCAAATGTTTTAGATTTTATTTATTTATTTAGATTTTAATTTAGATTTTATTTACTCAAAGCACCAAAATAAATATTATAATATATTTCAGTCGCATTTTATACACAGGATATTTAAAAAAAATTTTTTTTACAATATTTTATTTAAATTTGTCTTTGCTGATAAAGAAACAACGATTACCTTTAATTTAATTATATTTAAGAGCACCGTAAATCAAGCCTCAGTTACTTATTATAAATTTTTAATTTTGAATCATCTTTAAAGCTGTCAATTTTGGTTAATTAAAAAAAAAAATAAAGGTTCATTACACAGGTCAATTTTAGTTTTCCAAGTTAAAAGATGCCATCAATTTTAAAAAGTTTTAAAGTCTTACCTCTACAAAAGGAATCACAGGGGTAAAGAGGTGCTGAGTTTTTACATGAAGGAAACAACATGGAACACAAGAAAATGAAAGATGAATCTGAACAGCTTTTCGGCCTTTGGGACCCTGAGAGTTCGTTGAATTTATTGATTGCTTCTTGAGGGTGGGTGTGTTGTAGAAAATTAGGCAGATAAAAACTGGACGTTCCAAGATAAGACTGGCACTGTTCAATTGTCAGGGGCAAGCAGCGACCTGAAAATAGTTAAACAGTCATTTCTTCAAATGTCAAATCAGATTAATACAAGAAAATAAACAGTGAAAGTCATTTCTTCTGTGTATGTCAAATGAGATTAATACAAGAAAATAAACAGTGGAAGTCATTTCTTCTATGTATGTCAAAAATACAAGAAAATAAACAGTGGAAGTCATTTCTTCTATGTATGTCAAAAATACAAGAAAATAAACAGTGGAAGTCATTTCTTCTATGTATGTCAAAAATACAAGAAAATAAACAGTGGAAGTCATTTCTTCTATGTATGTCAAAAATACAAGAAAATAAACAGTGGAAGTCATTTCTTCTATGTATGTCAAAAATACAAGAAAATAAACAGTGGAAGTCATTTCTTCTATGTATGTCAAAAATACAAGAAAATAAACAGTGGAAGTCATTTCTTCTATGTATGTCAAAAATACAAGAAAATAAACAGTGGAAGTCATTTCTTCTATGTATGTCAAAAATACAAGAAAATAAACAGTGGAAGTCATTTCTTCTATGTATGTCAAAAATACAAGAAAATAAACAGTGGAAGTCATTTCTTCTATGTATGTCAAAAATACAAGAAAATAAACAGCGAAAGTCATTTCTTCTATGTATGTCAAAAATACAAGAAAATAAACAGCGAAAGTCATTTCTTCTATGTATGTCAAAAATACAAGAAAATAAACAGCGAAAGTCATTTCTTCTATGTATGTCAAAAATACAAGAAAATAAACAGCGAAAGTCATTTCTTCTATGTATGTCAAAAATACAAGAAAATAAACAGCGAAAGTCATTTCTTCTGTGTATGTCAAAAATACAAGAAATAAACAGTGAAAGTAATTTCTTCTGTGTATGTCAAAAATACAAGAAAATAAACAGTGAAAGTAATTTCTTCTGTGTATGTCAAATCAGATTAATACAAGAAAATAAACAGCGAAAGTAATTTCTTCTATGTATGTCAAAAATACAAGAAAATAAACAGTGAAAGTAATTTCTTCTGTGTATGTCAAATCAGATTAATACAAGGAAATAAACAGTAAAAGTCTTTTCTTCTGTGTATGTCAAAAATACATGAAAATAAACACACGGAAAGTTATTTCTTTTATGCATTTCAAAATAGATTAGTACAAAAAAAAAATAAACACAGTAAATCTTTCTATCTACCTCTGTTTCCCAATAAATAAATTAATTAAAAGAGTCCTATAAAAAACTCAAATTTAGGATTTAAAAAAACCACAATGCTGGCCTCGAGTGAGGATGTTTTTAATGAATTAAATAAATGAGCATAAAGGTGAGAGAACTGACCAGAAATTGTTGTTGTAGAGGTTGTTGAAGTTGATTCAGTTTGTGGTGATGACATGGTTGATGTGAAAGGAGTGGTCACTGTTGATTCAGTCACTGGAATGTTTTCTAAACAAATAAAAATATAAATATCATGAAAAATGTGTTACACTAAATCAAATATTGAGGTATTACATATACAAGTGTATGTATGTGTGTCGATATCTGAATATGTAAACATCTGTGTATGTACATGGATCTGTGTGTAGAAGGGTAGAAGAAGAAGAACATGTCCTACCTAGAATCACAACAGTTTCTGACAAGATTGACAGAACTAAGTTCCCTGCATTTTCCACAACCTGTTGGCGCAAAATTCTTTGGACGGTTTTTGCCAACACAATATCTGAGACATCTTGATTAAATTCTTCAAGCAGTCGCAAACTTCGCTTGAAGTTTAGTTTAAAAAACAATATTGTATTGTTGACGCTGTGGGGAAGAATAAAAATGTACCATTTATAGCGTAACATTTTATTTTTACCATTTTTAGCATAACATAACATTTTACTCTTTAGGGCATAACATTTCATTTTCCATTTATAGCATTACATTACAATTTTAAAACAATTTTTAACAAACTAGATTTAACAAAGGTAGCCTACTAAGTGCTATAACAGAGCAGTGAAAAAAAAAATTTTTTTTGCTAGTGAACTTACTATCTTTATAATATGCATAGATCACAAAAATAGGTGAACTCTACTTTACCTGCCCTATTAACTGTCAGCTCTGTACTTCAATGAACTAGTAAAAATTATTTTTAAAATGGAAGCCCACGTGATTTTAAAATGTAATGGCTAGAGAAGCATAAGAAAAAGTTACCTTAAATTACTAAATGTTGCTTTTATGAATGAGCTGTGCAATGTTGATGAATTTAAGATGATTTCAATCTGTTGATAATAAATCAGTTTAAAAAACAATGAGTTTCAAAGCTTTCTGATAAAAAAAAGAATAGTTTATTTGAATTAACATGTAGTGTGCTTTTAAAAAATGTGTTAAAAACAACGAATAATTGGAGTCGTACACAGAACAAAAGGGGAGGCTACTGTGTTCTTTACAAATAAGGGACACAACAATGACATTTTTAAAATGACTTACGTCATGTGAAAAGATTTCGCTGAGTTCCACCGTAGTGCCTGACCAAGGTTTGGACAAAGCTAGATGGCCGTAGTATTCAATTTCTGCAGTGAAAAAAACACTGGACATTGTATAGGGTTATTTTACAACGTTGCATGAATACCAATTATAATAAAATGTCATTATTCTTTTTTTTTCTGTCAAGAAAGCTCTGTCAGTAGTCTGTGTCGTCATCAAAATTGAGCTTATCCATATAATAAAGGCATAGATGGCCGTGCCCCCTCCCCATCGTCGTAAAAAGGCACTTAAAATGACATCTCATAATGCACCACGTCCTCAAATTTCAGTTGTTTTTAACCTCGATTTGTTTTTCAATCTCGTAAACTATTCAGCCTTTGTTAAACCAACCTTGAGTACATTCATCCATTTCTATTACAATTTACAAAATGCCTGTAAAAACTTGAAATATCGGCTAAAATTTAGTTTCTAACATAACTATTCTAAAATGCATAAGTGTGTCGTCACAAGTTCTACCACCGTTAAGGTTGAGTCCAAGTTCAGGTTAAAAAAAAAAGAAATAGGGTCGTCCATAAATGACGTCACACTCGTAGGGGGGCCCGTAATTTTGTGACGGTGTGTGATGAGGGGGAGGGGGGGGGGTTAGATGGTGCGAAGTCACACTTTTGCATTATAAAAAGCAATGTTAGAAAACGAATTTTAGACGTTATTTCGCGTTTTAAAAATCTGTTTTAGTAAATTGCAATAGGAATTGATCAAAATATTCTATTTTGACAGACTTCAGATAAGATTTTAGAAAAATATCGATGTTTGAAAAAAAATTCAACTGCAATTTTGAGGGGGGGGGGGGGTTGTAGGCTGAGGTGTGACGTCATTTTAGGGGTGGGTCTGGCTTTTTGTGACGACCTGTGACGGAGGGGAGGGGGGGGGAGGTAAAAATCGTCCTAAAAAGCGTGACGTGATTTATGGATAACCCCAATAGCCAAGAGCCGGTTGAATTTCTCCCTTGTAATAATTTTTTTTAATGTAGTACTAATAATTCAATAAAATTATAACAATAAAATGGTTTATTGCATTAGGGGGTTGGCCATACATAACATCACGCAATGATAATCGATTATATCCCCCCCCCCCACCCCCCTGTTGTCTTCACACAATAAAGTCTGTCCCCTCCAATAACAATAACGCCACCAAGCTCCGCCCTGCCCCATGAAATAAACACACACGACTTAAGTAAACGAACTGTTTTTAATAGTCTAACGTTGGTTAGGTAGCCTGGACCTGCTTAAGGTAAAATTTACTTACCTTGGGTTAGATTGGATGATGATGATGATGCTGGGGAAAACAATTTTAATTAATTAGGCTTCATTAGGCCAATAATTAGGGTTCAAATAATCAATAATTAGGGTTGAATGAGCTAATGAAGATTGATAAACCGAGGTTTTATGATAACTGTTAGATAGTTTTAAAATTAGGACCCACACATTATAATTTTACTCAACTAGTGGGCACACGACGAAAAATAAAGCATCTATAACATGAGAGAAATTGTTTGGTTTAGGCATGGTTAGGTACCGTGAGATTAGTTAGGCAAAAGATTAATTATTAATTAGGTTCCCAACTAGGTGTGGTCTCCTCAAGATACCCACAGAAAGACATGGGCAATTAGCCACACAGGCAGGCCATTTAGACACATAAGCACACATACAGACACACAGTCACATACATACAGACACAGTCACGCGACACACATACAGACACACACAGTCAGACACATACAGACAGCCACACACATACAGACACAGCCACACATATACAGACACACAGCCACACGCATACAGACACAGTCACACACATACAGACACACACATACAGACACAATCACACACATACAGCCACACAGCCGCATACATACAGAAAGACAGACAGAGAAAAAGACGTGGAGAGAGAGATACACTTATATAGACAGCAACACACAGAGCCGGCCACACACACAGCCAACCACACACACACAGCCAACCGCACACACACAGCCAACCGCACACACACAGCCAACCGCACACACACAGCCAACCACACACACACAGCCAAACACACACACACAGCCAACCACACACACACACAGCCAACCACACACACACACACAGCCAACCACACACACAGCCAACCAAACACACAGCCAACCAAACACACAGCCAACCACACACACAGCCAACCACACACACAGCCAACCACACACACAGTCAACCACACACACAGCCACACACACACAGCCACACACACAGCCAGCCACACACAGATAGCCACACACACAGCCAACCACACACAACCAACCACACACAGCCAACCACACACAGCCAGCCACACACACAGAGTCGGCCACACTTACACACAGCCAACCACACACACACAGACGACCAACCCCACACCCCCACCTACCAGGTTTATTTACAAAGATGACGGCGAGCGCGATGCCCACAGCCAGGCCAAGCAGGACGACGACGGCAGCGACGATGAGCACCAAACACGGGCATGTCAACTTCCGGCTGACCCAGCTCTTCTTCAGCTCCAGGCTCGGGGCGGTGCCTGGTGTGGGTGGGGGCGGGACAATTGTGTTCTCTTTGGGAAATTCCTTCTCGTTGGCGAACACGTCATCGTCGTCTGGGAGGGGGTAGATTTTGTAGGTGTCGCCGTTAGGGGAGCTAGGGGAGGTGGGGGAGTGGGGGGAGCGGGATTCAATGGAGGAAAAACGCTGTGGAGAAATAAAATGTGGATTTAGAAAAGCTGGATATTGTAAAATGTGGATTTAGAAAAGCTGGATATTGTAAAATGTGGATTTAGAAAAGCTGGATATTGTAAAATGCGGATTTAGAAAAGCTGGATATTTTAAAATGTGGATTTAGAAAAGCTGGATATTGTAAAATGTGGATTTAGAAAAGCTGGATATTGTAAAATGTGGATTTAGAAAAGCTGGGTATTGTAAAATGTGGATCAAGAAAAGCTGGATATTGGAAAATGGGAATTTAAAAAATCTGGATATTGTAAAATGTGGATTTAAAAAAACTGGATTTGTAGAATGATAATCAAGAAAAACTGGATTTGTAAAATGTTAATCAAGAAAATCTGGATATTGTAAAATGTGGATCAAGAAAATCTGGATTTGTAAAATGTTAATCAAGAAAAACTGGATATTGTAAAATGTGAATCAAGAAAATCTGGATATTGTGAAATGTGAATCAAGAAAAGATGGAAATTGTAAAATGTGAATCAAGAAAATCTGGATGTGTAAAATGTTAATCAAGATAAATAGCGTATTGTAACATGTGAATAAAATGAACGCTGACATAACACCAACATATATATTTTCTTGTTAACGGTCTGAAGGTCAATAGGTCAGACAAAGAACGGTTGGTCGCCTTTATAATTATAGACTAGCAATTCATGAACAATGAGTATTGTTACAAATTAGCTAGAAGGTTTAGATTTTGTACAATATTTGTAAAGAAATAGCTAAAAGTTTCGAAATTGTGAAAAATAGTTACAGATATATCTACAATATTGTTACAAATTACGGTAAAATACTGTTACAAATTACGGTAAAATACTATTAAAATTAGGGTAAAATATTGTAACAGATATAGATACAATATTGCTACAGATTAATGAGATTATGGTACAATATTGTTACAGATATAGATATATTGTTACAGATAAATCTACAGTATTGTTATAGTTTATGATACAATACTGTTACAGATATATCTACAATATTGTTACAGATATAGCTACAATGTTGTTACAGATAAATCTAGAATGTTTATATAGGTGCAGGGGAATAGGTAGGTCGCAGATTGATGTCAATTAAGTGGCCTAAACAATGGGGTCAGCGGTGATAACACAACATAAACCCCCGAGAAAACAATCCATAGTAAAATGGTCAGGGACCATATTATTGGGAACCATAACAAGAAAGAGTCAGTGAGTGGTTTTTTTTTTTTATTATGGATCCGGAAAGTTCCGTCGTACAATTTTGTCTGTGGTGTGGTGATGAAACACTTTTGCATTTTAAAAAGTTTAGACACTGAATTTTAGAAGTTATTTTTTTTTAAGTTGTAATAAAAAAAAATTGATTGATAGATGCTCTGCTTAATGTTGACCAAGCTCAGAAACTATTTTAGAAAATTAAATTGATGTTTCTAAAAAAAATTAATAAATTCGATTTTTTTTTGGGGGGGGGGGGGGGGGGAGGGTTGTAGGCATAGGTGTGATGGTGTGATGTAATTTTTGGGGTGTGGTGGGGGTGGGGGTCTGTCATCGTGTGGCGATGGTGAGGAGGTAGGGAGATAAAAAAAACTTTAAAAAACGTAAGGTCACTGTGTTTGACACTTAAGACTATAATGTCACCAGCACTAGAGTAGCAGCAAGCTAGCTAGCGAGGCGGGAGTGGCTATCCTACATATCAGTGGTTCTTAATCTGGGTTCGATCGAACCCCAGAGGTTCGGTTAGTCAGTATCAGGGGTTCGCCGGGGGTCAAGACACAAACCCGACTCAAAAGTCTGGCGATCGGATTTTGTCAGTACGGCCGATAGGACTAGTAAGAATGGTTCGGTGTATGCGCATCAAAACTAGTGGGGTTCGTTAACTCTAAAAAAAATTCATAAAAAACGTTTTAATAACAAGCTTTTATGTAATGATGCACTAAAAAGTAGAAAATAAATTATAGACTACTATTTAAATAACTATAAAGAAAAGCGTGGGTCACTATAGTATCTATTGGATACCTTTACTAATGTTAAGGAAGACACCCACGCTTTTCTTTATAGTTATTTAAATAGTAGTCTATAATTTATTTTCTACTTTTTAGTGCATCATTACATAAAAGCTTGTTATTAAAACGTTTTTTATGAATTTTTTTTCAGTACTTTACATGTTTTATCTACAATAGAGTTACATGACTAAAAACCATTGCGCGCCTACTGAATATCACGTTCAGTAGGCGCGCAATGGTTTTTGAACGCAGCCATCACGTGGTCGTGATGGCGCAGCTATTGATGACGCGTGTTGTGTGGTTGGCTAGACATGCCTACTAATTCAGTCCAAATTTTAATTAAATCATAAAAAATTAATTAGGCATCCAATTAAGTCAAATTTAGTTTCAGATTGCATTGTCTTCATGTCTTGACCCACGTGCCAACTGTGAATCGTATCGGTCAAGTAGAACTGTCCGAATTTTCACTCCTGCGTTTCCGTCTAGACAGACAGACAGAGGAAGTGAGTTAAATAAAAGCTTGTAAAAAATTCATAAAAAACGTTTTAATAACAAGCTTTTATGTAATGATGCACTAAAAAGTAGAAAATAAATTATAGACTACTATTTAAATAACTATAAAGAAAAGCGTGGGTCACTTTAGTATCTATTGGATACCTTTACTAATGTTAAGGAAGACACCCACGCTTTTCTTTATAGTTATTTAAATAGTAGTCTATAATTTATTTTCTACTTTTTAGTGCATCATTACATAAAAGCTTGTTATTAAAACGTTTTTTATGAATTTTTTTTCAGTACTTTACATGTTTTATCTACAATAGAGTTACATGACTAAAAACCATTGCGCGCCTACTGAATATCACGTTCAGTAGGCGCGCAATGGTTTTTGAACGCAGCCATTACGTGGTCGTGATGGCGCAGCTATTGATGACGCGTGTGGTGTGGTTGGCTAGACATGCCTACTAATTCGGTCCAAATTTTAATTAATTCATAAAAAATTAATTAGGCATCCAATTAAGTCAAATTTAGTTTCAGATTGCATTGTCTTCATGTCTTGACCCACGTGTCAAATGTGAATCGTATCGGTCAAGTAGAACTGTCCGAATTTTCACTCCTGCGTTTCCGTCTAGACAGACAGACAGAGGAAGTGAGTTAAATAAAAGCTTGTAATGTAAAATGTTAATCAAGAAAAACTGGATATTGTAAAATGTGAATCAAGAAAATCTGGATATTGTGAAATGTGAATCAAGAAAAGATGGAAATTGTAAAATGTGAATCAAGAAAATCTGGATGTGTAAAATGTTAATCAAGATAAATAGCGTATTGTAACATGTGAATAAAATGAACGCTGACATAACACCAACATATATATTTTCTTGTTAACGGTCTGAAGGTCAATAGGTCAGACAAAGAACGGTTGGTCGCCTTTATAATTATAGACTAGCAATTCATGAACAATGAGTATTGTTACAAATTAGCTAGAAGGTTTAGATTTTGTACAATATTTGTAAAGAAATAGCTAAAAGTTTCGAAATTGTGAAAAATAGTTACAGATATATCTACAATATTGTTACAAATTACGGTAAAATACTGTTACAAATTACGGTAAAATACTATTAAAATTAGGGTAAAATATTGTAACAGATATAGATACAATATTGCTACAGATTAATGAGATTATGGTACAATATTGTTACAGATATAGATATATTGTTACAGATAAATCTACAGTATTGTTATAGTTTATGATACAATACTGTTACAGATATATCTACAATATTGTTACAGATATAGCTACAATGTTGTTACAGATAAATCTAGAATGTTTATATAGGTGCAGGGGAATAGGTAGGTCGCAGATTGATGTCAATTAAGTGGCCTAAACAATGGGGTCAGCGGTGATAACACAACATAAACCCCCGAGAAAACAATCCATAGTAAAATGGTCAGGGACCATATTATTGGGAACCATAACAAGAAAGAGTCAGTGAGTGGTTTTTTTTTTTTTATTATGGATCCGGAAAGTTCCGTCGTACAATTTTGTCTGTGGTGTGGTGATGAAACACTTTTGCATTTTAAAAAGTTTAGACACTGAATTTTAGAAGTTATTTTTTTTTAAGTTGTAATAAAAAAAAATTGATTGATAGATGCTCTGCTTAATGTTGACCAAGCTCAGAAACTATTTTAGAAAATTAAATTGATGTTTCTAAAAAAAATTAATAAATTCGATTTTTTTTTGGGGGGGGGGGGGGGGGGGAGGGTTGTAGGCATAGGTGTGATGGTGTGATGTAATTTTTGGGGTGTGGTGGGGGTGGGGGTCTGTCATCGTGTGGCGATGGTGAGGAGGTAGGGAGATAAAAAAAACTTTAAAAAACGTAAGGTCACTGTGTTTGACACTTAAGACTATAATGTCACCAGCACTAGAGTAGCAGCAAGCTAGCTAGCGAGGCGGGAGTGGCTATCCTACATATCAGTGGTTCTTAATCTGGGTTCGATCGAACCCCAGAGGTTCGGTTAGTCAGTATCAGGGGTTCGCCGGGGGTCAAGACACAAACCCGACTCAAAAGTCTGGCGATCGGATTTTGTCAGTACGGCCGATAGGACTAGTAAGAATGGTTCGGTGTATGCGCATCAAAACTAGTGGGGTTCGTTAACTCTAAAAAAAATTCATAAAAAACGTTTTAATAACAAGCTTTTATGTAATGATGCACTAAAAAGTAGAAAATAAATTATAGACTACTATTTAAATAACTATAAAGAAAAGCGTGGGTCACTATAGTATCTATTGGATACCTTTACTAATGTTAAGGAAGACACCCACGCTTTTCTTTATAGTTATTTAAATAGTAGTCTATAATTTATTTTCTACTTTTTAGTGCATCATTACATAAAAGCTTGTTATTAAAACGTTTTTTATGAATTTTTTTTCAGTACTTTACATGTTTTATCTACAATAGAGTTACATGACTAAAAACCATTGCGC